CTGGGTGCTGCATGCTGGGTGCTGGGTGCTGCGTGCTGGGTGCTGCACGCTGGGTGTTGGGTGCTGCGTGCTGGGTGCTGCATGCTGGGTGCTGGGTGCTGTGTGCTGCGTGCTGGCCGCCTGGCCAATGGCATGTGACCCAGACACAAGCACGGGCCTGGGGCCCAGAGACCCGAGTGCCAGCCCAGACTGCTGGCCTGGTATTTTCGTGTGTGTGGGGGGGGGGGGGGGCGGGGGGGGTGATGGGCCCAGATGCCCGCTAAGCGTGACCTTCCGGAAGCCACGAGATCCGCAGACGCCTCCGTCTCATTTCATCCCCGGAAGGCGGCTCTTCCGGGGATGAAATGTCACCCTGGGTGTGGGTGGCGCGGGCGGGACCAGCTGCTGGAAGCCGGAGCCGCCCCAGGAAGGGCCGGAAGCCTGGCTGGAGCCGTGGGAGCTCAGGGCGCGTCTCTCCCAGCTCCTCCTCTGGAAGGAGCCCCCCTCACACTCTGCTGAGCCCCCACGGCCAGCCTGCCCTCCCCACCTCCAAACAGGGACAGAGCAGGCGGGAGGGAGGGCCCAGCACGCGCCCCCGGCCCGTCACGGGGACAGAGCGCCCACCATGCCCGGCGGCCGGGAGGGCCAGCGGTCACGGCCCCTGCCTGCAGGCCCGCGCCTGCCTGCGCCTCACCCACCGCGGGAGCCTGAGGCGGCCTCCCAGTCCCGCTCTCCACCCCAGCGCCGGCTCCGGGGTTTGTTATCGCCGCTCACACGGCCCCGGCCTCGGGGTCAGTCCATCCACCGCGTGTGTGTTTGGTGTTATTGGTGTTATTGGCACAGCCAGGCCCGGGCAGCCACAGGTTAGAGCCGATCGGAAATCTCGGTGAAACCAGCCTGCCGCCTCGGTGTGGAGGCCTCAGATCTGGAAGTTTCTCCCAACCTCTGTCTCTCTCCCCTCTTTCCCTCCCTCCCTCCCTGAAAGTTTTTACAGACTGTTTCTTAGAGCAGTGTGTGGGTTGTAGCAAACTTGAACAGCCCGAGCTGGTGTGGCTCAGTGGGTAGAGTCGGCGAGGGGTCCGAAGGGTCCCGGGTTTGATTCCAGTCCAGGGTGTGTACACAGCTCGACCCCCGGCCAGATCAGGGCGTGTGCGGGAGGCAACCCATCGATGAGTCTCTCTCACATCAGTGTTTCCCTCTCTGTCCCCCCACCCTTAAGAACCAATGGGAATAAAAGCGGTGTTTCCAGCCAGGACCGGTTTGGCTCAGTGGATAGAGCGTCGACCTGCGGACTGAAAGGTCCCAGGTTCGATTCCGGTCAAGGGCATGTACCTTGGTTGCGGGCACATCCCCGGTGGGGGGTGTGCAAGAGGCAGCTGATCGATGATTCTCTCTCATCGATGTTTCTCTATTCCTCTCTTTTCCTCTCTGTGAAAAATCAATAAAAAAAAAAGCAGTGTTTCCGAATCCACTTTAAAAAGAAAAGCTGAACAGGAAGTGGAGCGTCCTGATATGCCCCAGCCGCACGGGTGTGTGTGTGTGTGTGTGTGTCCCCTGCAGTCCTGTTACTGCGGTGAGCGAGGGGCTCCCGGTGCTGCATGCTCTCTGGGTTTAAACTAAGGCATGTGACAGGTGCCCACACCACAGGGTCCCGGAGCCGCTTCCTGCCTGAGAGCCCCCACTTCCCCGTGCTCCCCCTGTGCTCCCCCCTGTGCTCCCCCTCCCGCTCCCCTGTGCTCCCCTCCCGCTCCCCTGTGCTCCCCCTGTGCTCCCCCTGTGCTCCCCTGTGCTCCCCCTGTGCTCCCCCTGTGCTCCCCCTCCTGCTCCCCTGTGCTCCCCCTCCCGCTCCCCTGTGCTCCCCTTGTGCTCCCCCTCCCGCTCCCCTATGCTCCCCCTGTGCTCCCCGTCCCACTCGCTCCCCCTCCCGCTCCCCTGTGCTCCCCCTCCTGCTCCCCTGTGCTCCCCCTACCACTCCCCTGTGCTCCCCCCCTGCTCCCCCTCCCACTCCCCTGTGCTCCCCCCGTGCTCCCCTTGTGCTCCCCCTCCCGCTCTCCTGTGCTCCCCCTCCCGTTCCCCTTGTGCTCCCCCTCCCGCGCCCCCACCGACAAGCGCTGGGTTTCCCCGTGGCCTCGGTGCTGTGTCCTGCCACGTGGCCTGTGGCTGGAAGCGGGTGTGTGGCCATCTCCCGCGGCTCCCACTTAGCAGCGCCCGTCCACGTCCCCGCCACGCCCTCCGGGCTGATGGCTCCTCTCCAGAGGGTTCCCGTCTTCCTTTTTCTGAAGGGAACGTTACTGGGGAAGACCGAGGTGGAAGAAGGGGCTCCAGACACGCGGGGGAGGCCCGGGAGGGCTGGGCCTGGGGAGCACGCTGATGGTCACGTGCTCGGGGTGGGCTGGGGCGGGCAGCGAGGGATGGCTGTGCCCCGGGAGGGGGTGCACTGGGTCCTCGGTCCTCACCGCTCTGGGCTGGGGTTTTCTGTGACCTCACACGGACAGGAGCCGTGGCCAGCGCGGCCCACCCTGTCTGGGAGCCGCGTGGGGAGGGCCGTGCCATGCGGGGTCCCCCGCCGGCGCTCTGGGCCTCGGCAGCACTCACCCCGCCGGCTGTGGTAACGGGCCGGCCTCTGCATGGCTCCCGGTGCACGGTGACCTCGCCGATCGGGCAGCTGCAGGAGGGTGAGCCGTCTTGGGGTGGACGGCCCCGGCCCCGGTCCCCACACGGCACAGACCAAGTAGACTGCCACCTGCCTGCACCCCTTGTACCTGCATGGGGACAGGTGTCTGTCACCACAATGCAGTGTCTATGTCCCACCACCAGGGGGCAGCATCCTGCTCTCCCCCCCACAGGCCTCAGGTCCTCCCAGGAAACCATGTCTTAAAGCAGCGCCCCCCCCCCCTCCCCACTCCACTCCCCGAAACCAAATACGGGTCCAGGAGCCGGGAAATGAGTGACTAGGCCGCAGGGTCTTGAAAATGACAGTGGCTGCTGGGTACTGAGCACAGGGCTTGCTGCACCCTGGGCTGGCCCTGGCATCTCCCGGGCAGGGGACCTGGGTGGAGGAACAGACAGATGGAAGTCTGGGAGCTCCGGGTCCCAGCAAGTAGGAGGTGTGGCTAGGGCTGCACCCCAGTGTCTGATCCGCGGCAGCCGTGCCTGCAGGTCCCAGGCTCTGACACTGATGGGGGAGGGGCAGGGGAGGGGGAGGGGCAGGGGAGGGGAGGGAGGGGGGGCTCTCCAGCAGCAGCAGGGCCTGTGTCCCTCAGGGATGACCGTATTGTCCTCTGTGTGCCTGGGGTGAGAAGATAACAGTGGAGGATCCTGGTTCCCTCCCTCCCCCGCCCCCACGGCACTGGACGGCTGTCAGCCCGGGAGCCCTGGGCAGCCGCTGTGTGCGCCGGCAGCGGGCACTCTGTCCGAGGCGTCAAACCTCGCCGGCGTGGCCCGTTCCCCACGGAAACCCATCGGTGGTATTGATCCCTGAGGGTGGGCTCCGCAGTGATCTGTGGGGAGAGGGGGCGTGGGCGTGGGCGCTGACCCAGAGCGGACCTGCCCCGTGGCTCCCGTCTCCTGGCTCCTCTGGAACCGCCGGGCGGGCACTGACGCCGGGCCCGGTGCCACCGGTCTCCCCGCACCGCCCCCCAGACAGCTGGCACCCATGGGGCACTCAGCGGCCTCCCCGGAGGGCTGCTGTGCCGGGGGAGGGGGAGCCTGCCCGGCCGGTGGGGCTGTCGGAGGTGGGGCTCGGGGGAGGGCCCACGGAGACCGAAGGGAGCAGTGTGCTCCTGTGGGGCGGGCCTCGCAGGCTGGGCCTCAGTGCCGGTGCTCAGAGCTGTGGCTTTCAGGGACGGGTCCTGAGTGGGAAGGGGTCCCGCCCCTCGACCCCGCGTGGGCCCCTGAGCTAACAGCTGCTCGCAGGGAGAGAGCTGGTCCCAGCCCCGGCTTCCCTCCCCCTGCCCCCCCCCATGGCCCTGCCCAGCTGCCAGCACCAAGCTCCTCGGCAGGCCCTGGGCCCGCGCCCCGCAGGCTGGCCTCCGGAGGGCTGTCGGGGGGTGTGGGTGAGGAGCCCACAGTCCGCCCAGCCCTTCACCCGCACCTCCCTGCGCCTCCTGGGCTCAGGCGCAGCAGTACCCAGGCCCATGTCCGGGCACAGGAACAGGGGTGGGGGTGAGGGGGGGCCACAGAGGACTGTGCTTAAGACATCTGCATTGGAGGGAGCTGGGCCCGGCTGCAGAGGCCTGCCCGCTGCCCTGGGTGCTGAGGCCCTGGGACCGGGTCATGCCAGGTCCAGGCTGCAGAGGCGGGCCACCCAGGGGAGGCAGTGATCGCCCCCTCTGCAGGGTGCTCACAGGGAGCGGGCAGGAGCCCCTCGTTGGGGTTGATCACGTCTGACTCCCACAGTCCCCTGATGCCCCAGGACTGTGCTGGGGGGGCAGGACTGTGCTGGGGGGGGCCCGGGACTGTGCTGGGGGGGGCAGGACTGTGCTGGGGGGGCGGGACTATACTGGGGGGGCCCCGGGACTGTGCTTGGGGGGCGGGACTGTGCTGGGGGGGCAGGACTGTGCTGGGGGGGCCCCGGGACTGTGCTAGGGAGGCCCCTGGGGGGGGCGGGACTGTGCTGGGGGGGCGGGACTGTGCTGGGGGGGCGGGACTGTGCTGGGGGGGCGGGACTGTACTGGGGGGCCCCTGGGGGGGCAGGACTGTGCTGGGGGGGCGGGACTGTGCTGGGGGGGCAGGACTGTGCTGGGGGGGCCCCCGGAATGTGCTTGGGGGGCGGGACTGTGCTGGGGGGGCAGGACTGTGCTGGGGGGGCAGGACTGTACTGGGGGGGCCCTGGGACTGTGCTAGGGAGGCCCCTGGGGAGGGGCGGGACTGTGCTGGGGGGGCGGGACTGTGCTGGGGGGCGGGACTGTGCTGGGGGGGCAGGACTGTGCTGGGGGGGGCGGGACTGTGCTGGGGCCTGAGTCCCTGCCCCCCGGGCTGCTCGCCTGCCTGTCCCCGCTAACGCGCCCTCTCCCCAGCAGTGTCGGAGCCCCCGGCGGCCCTGGGCGCCCTGGAGAAGCCGGCGGGCGCGGCCATCCTGTGCACCACGTGCGGCAGCGTGTGCCGGGGCGAGGTGCTGCGGGTGCAGAGCAAGTACTTCCACCTCAAGTGCTTCGTCTGCAAAGGTGAGTGTCTCCGATCCGGCTGCCAGCCCGGCGGCCCCGGGCGGCCCCGGAGCGGGCACACGGGCAGGAGGTGCCGCCCAGAGCCTGCCTCCACAGCGCCCTCCTCCTGCGGCGTCACCCACGGCGGGGCGGGTCCAGGCCTCCTCACGCAGCTGCGCCCCGAGGACTCGGTCCAGGACGGAGCATGGCTGTGGGGCCCAGGCCCAGGGCCTGTGTCAGCTGTGGGGGCGGGGGGGGGGGCGGGCTTAGGGAGCGAGCATCTGGGAGGTTCCAGGCCTTAGTGGGAGCCCCCCCCCCCCCCCCCCCCGGAGCTTACAGCCCAGGGAAGCTGCACAGAGCACAGTGTGACATCCGTCGGCACAGCTTGTCCAGGGGTAACCCCAGCAGGGCGCGCCAGGACCCGGGTCCCGCGGGAGAGCAGAGGGAAGTCACTGGGAGGGATCTCCGATGACACACACGCCTGTTATTCCAGGTGCCAGGCCAAGGCCGAGGTCAGGGTAGACCGGGCAGCAAGCCCTCCAGCCGGCCAGCTCCTCCCGCTCAGGTCCTCTGCTGGGCTCTGTCCTGCCGTCCCCCTGCCCAGCTCAGAGCCCCAGCCCTGGGGCTGCCGTCCCCCTGCCCAGCTCAGAGGCCCGGCCCTGGGGCTGCCGTCCCCCTGCCCAGCTCAGAGGCCCCGCCCCTGGGGCTGCCGTCCCCCTGCCCAGCTCAGAGGCCCGGCCCTGGGGCTGCTGTCCTCCTGCCCAGCTCAGAGGCCCAGTCCTGTGGCTGCCATCCCCCTGGGGCTGCCATCCCCCTGCCCAGCTCAGAGGCCTGGTCCTGGGGCTGCCGTCCCCCTGCCCAGCTCAGAGGCCCGGTCCTGTGGCTGCCGTCCCCCTGGGGCTGCCGTCCCCCTGCCCAGCTCAGAGGCCTGGTCCTGGGGCTGCCGTCCCCCTGCCCAGCTCAGAGGCCCCGCCCCTGGGGCTGCCGTCCTCCTGGCCTAGCTCGGAGGCCCGGCCCTGGGGCTGCCGTCCGGGCCCTGACCAGCTGGCCTGGGCACTGCGTTCACATGTGGAACACACGTCTGTCTCGGAAACATTCATGTTGAGGGCAGAGGAGCACCCCCATGAGGTACGCTCCTCACCGTGCTCCCACATCTGCCCGGATCCTCTGAACACAGGGCCCACACGGACCAGGCCCGCCCTCCGCTGCCGGGCATTTACGTCGATGCCACCTGGGCACACAGCCAGTCGGTTCCCCAAACCTCATCTCTGAGGCCTTCCGACAGCCACGCCAGGGGGGCACCTCAAACCCTGTTTTACAAGCAAAGACCTGGAGGCTCAGAGAGGTGCAGTGACCTGCCCCAGGCCACACAGTGGGGAGAGCAGGAGGGAGGATTCCAGCCCCGGCGCCCCCAGGGACCATTGGCCGCAGGGGCTGTGTGACCTGCAGCCAGCGCAGTGCTGACCGTCTGCGGGGGCCTGGTCACTTCCTCCCGGGGTCAGGAGGTCGCTGGGTCAGAGGGCAGGGGCGGCTCTCACATTCCTTAGAGTCCGTGCCAAATGGGGTTCCAGAAAGTGCCTTCCCCGCGGCCGCCCTCCTGGCCGCTTCTCGGAATGACCTCAGCGAGTGCCAGGGCTGAGCTCAGGTCACCCCGCTGCCCCGCGGCCCCGGGCACTCCTGACGGGCCCAGTGGACAGAGAGCCTGTGCTGGCAGCTGTCGGAGTTAGGAGTTTTTCAATTGTTGGTGAACTCGAACTTGGACTTAGAGCAGCCTGTCCGTACCAACCCCGTGAGCACAGCAGCCGGGGTCGATCGGCAGCCCCGTGCCGGGAGGAGGGGGCAGCTGCCCCGGGCAGGCGTGACGGGCCGGCCGGGGCGGCCTCAGTCCCTGTCCGGGCGCTGGTGTGGCCGAGACTCCAGTTCCCACGGGACAAGAGGCCCATCACACACTTTGCCCTCCGGGGGGCAGCCTGGCCGCCACGCCCTTAGGAAGAATAGGACAACAGCCGGAGGCAGAGGCCGGTGTCCAGGGCCACATAGGTATGGGGGGTGGGGAGAGGAGGGAGGGGGGAGGGTGTTGCAGGAAGAGACCGCAGATCTCCGGGCAGGCCCAGCGAGCTGTTCCTCCCGAGGGCACCGCGTCGGCCTCCGCGGTGATGGAGACCACAAAGGGCCCGGCTCCTGTGGGCGTGGCCGGTTCAGATCCGGGCTCTGTGTGAGCGATGTCGGCACGCCCGGCCTGGCAGCCCCCTGCAGCACGCACAGCGCCCGGCTCCTCTGAGCTCCACTTCCCTCAGAGGAGGCCGGGGCCCAGGTCCGGGAGGCTCCTGGCCGGGCCTCGGCGCTCAGCCAACCTGGCCTGTCCGGGGAGCCGGCCTCCCCTGGAGAAGAGGAGGGAGGACTGTCCCAGGCTCCCTGTTGAGCCACCTGAACCTTACCAACCTTTTGGCGAGACTCCTGTAATTATGGAATCGGTTCCAGGCAGGATGAAGATTAAACACCAAGCTAACAAAACCCCACATAGGCCCAGTACTGGGAACTCACCCTTTGCCATCAGTTAATATTTTAACAAAAATGCCGAGGGATCGATTCAAAACGGTCTGAGGGCCACATGGTTTTTCACGCCTCGAGAGGCCCTGACCTGTGAGGACTGGCCTGGCCCAGGTGCTGGGACTGCCCTGGGCGGCCTGGGGCCTCCAGCAGGGAGGGGGTGTCCGGGCAGCGCTCCCTCTGAAACCCTGCCTGGCTCCCACGTGTCCCTGGGGCAGGAGGGGCACGGGTGGGGTGAAGGCTCAGGCGTCCCGGTGGTTGAGGGACCGGCTGCCCCGAGGCTGGGTGTCCGGTCTCCACCCAGCAGAGTCCCCGGCCCCTCGGGTCCCTGGGGCAGCGGCTGTGTGTTGGGGGCCAGGGGACAGAAGGGTTTGTGTCAGGTGTCCCGGGTCCCTCCTGCAGGCCTGGCCGTGTCCACAGTTCGGGGGGGGGGGGGTAGTGGGGAGGGCCAGGAAGCTCACAAGGACCCGGATTCACCGGTCCTCGGCCACGGGCACCTTCCCACCCGCGGCCTCGCGTGGAGTAGGTGCTTTCTGATCCTTCTGTCCCGCGGGAACAGGAGCCAGGCCGGCGGGGAGGGGGGGGGGCCTCAGAGACCTCCCTGGTGGGTCCCGGAGCGAGGGAGGGAGACGGCGGCCCTCAGCAGCGCGAAGGGTCCGCCCAGGCCGGCGCCCTTTCTGGAAGCGTCCACAGGGAGGGCACACCATCAGGCGAGGGCAGAGCGGAGCGGTGCTGGCCCTGGCCCCGGCCGGGATTTCCCAGCGAACCGCCGGCCTGCATCAGGTGGGGGTGTCTGCGGGGGCCCCCGGGGAGAGGGGCGCCCGGGGGGGTCCCGCCCGGGGAGGGCCCCTGACGCTGCCTCACTCCCCAGTGTGCGGCTGTGACCTGGCGGAGGGCGGCTTCTTCGTGCGGCAGGGCCAGCACATCTGCACGCGGGACTACCAGCGCCTGTACGGCACCCGCTGCTTCGCCTGCGACCGCTTCATCGAGGGCGAGGTGGTGTCCGCGCTGGGCCGGACCTACCACCCCGACTGCTTCGTGTGCGCCGCCTGCCGGTGAGTGAGCCCGCCCTGCGCCCGCCCGGGCCCTGCTCCCCCCCGGGCCCTGCACCCACCCCGGGGCCCTGCGCCCACCTGGGCCCTGCACTCACCCCGGACCCTGCGCCCACCCCGGCCTCTGTGCCCACCCCGGGCTCTGTGCCCACCCGGGGCCCTGTACCTCCTGCCCTGCCTCTGCCTCTCCTCGGCTGCCTGTGCCCCCACAGCACCACACCCAGCCACCGGGCACGTGTCCCCCTTCCTGTGCCCCCACAGCACCACACCCAGCCACCGGGCACGTGTCCCCTTCCTGTGTCCCCTCAGCACCACAGCCAGCCACCGGGCTCATGTCCTCCTGCCTCCCGGCCTGTGACACCTCACCCAGCCACCGGGCATGTGAGCCCCAGCATGGCGGCTTCCAGGACCCCTCCCTCTCCAGAACCCCCCTCCCCGCCACCATCCTGCTCAGGGGCCGCCATGGTCTCCATGCTAGGTCCCTCCCCTCTGCCTAGCACTGCCCACAGGTTCTGGGTCTCCACCCACCTCAGCCCGGCTGGGCCTCCAGGCAGCTCCCGTCATTCACTCCCCAGCTTCCCACAGCCTCGCAGGCCAGGCCTGGCCACTGGGCGCATCAGCGGACACCCGGGCTCAGGCCGACCCCGCAGTGCAGGCAGCTGCCTCCGGGCCCCCCCCCCCGGAGCAGGCGCCACCCCCCCTCCATTGCATCCTGTCCTGGGCCACCTCTCTAGCATCGTGTCCCTGAAGCAGCTTGATGTGAACCCCCTGTGGGCAGGGGCCCGACACCATACGGGGTACAGTGACAGATGTGGGGGGGAGGGGGACAGACCAGGTCCCAACCCTCCCCTCCTCCCTCCCTCCTTCCCTCCCCCACCACTGCCACACTGCTCCCAGGGGATGTCTCATTTCTGGAAAACAAAGAATGAAAACCCTAGTGTGGCCTGGCCAGTGTGGCTCAGTGGTTGAGTGTCGATCCACGAACCGGGAGGTCACAGTTCAATGTTCAGTCAGGGCACGTGCCCGGCTGACCCCCCTGTGGGCGTGCAGGAGAGAGCCAGTCCGTGATGCTCTCATTGTTGATGTTTCTCTCTCTCTGCCCCCACTTCCTCTCTCTGGAAAACTAAACAAAGGGCGTGTGTGCTCTTTCCTCTGCCCCCTACCCAGTCCCACAGGAGCTGTCCGGGCACCGTGTCTGCACCGGCACTGCGGGCAGAGGGGGCGTGGCCGGGCCGGCCGTTTCTAAGGAGCCCCTGTGTCTTAGCCAGCGTGCGGGGGGCAGAGTCCCGCGGCTGTCGGTGATTTCTGGGCGCGTTGCTTAGAGACCAGGCTGGCACGTCACCGTGAGGCTGGGAGACCGGCTCTGGGCAGTCTGCTGAGCTGGGGGTGACACCGGCGGCTCCGTCCTGCTGGGCCCGGACCCCCGTCCACTATAAACCCCGAGGACACCGGACAGAAGGCACAGAGCACCTGTTGGCAGACATGGGGCCCAGGCAGCTGAGGCTGGAGAGGAGGAGGGCAAAGGAAGGGAGCCCTGACCGGCCTGGCCCGCTGCCCGCTCCCAGGAGGCACGCCAGTGCCTGGCATTCTCGCTGAGCTGGGAGCCGGGGCTCCGAGAGACGGAGCAGCTTGCGGAGGGGAGAGCCGCATGGACCAGAGCTCCGGAGCCATGGAGGGGCCACCGAGTCCTGACCGGCACAGAGCCCTGTGGACACGCGGCATCTCACGGGGTGAGGCAGAGAGGGGCCGGCTTGCTGTAGGCTAAGCCGTCCCCAGGTCTGGGAGGCGTTGGTGCTGGCCAGGTGGACAGTCCGTGCTGAATGCCCAGCACACAGTAGGGGCACCATCAGGGCCATCCACGCATTGTCAGTGGACGGAGCCAGCAGAGTGCAGGAGAAGCCTCAGAGAGGCCAGGCTGACCAGCAAACCGGCCGCCGCCCGCCAAAGCACAGGGCAGCCCGCCCTGTGGGAGGAAAAGCAAGCCCCGCCCTCAGCAGTGTGACACTGACCATGTCCGACTTCCACCCAACGCCCCTGCTCACAAACAGGCACGGGAGCGCCCCGCCCTCGGCAGTGTGACACTGACCATGTCCGACTTCCACCCAACGCCCGGCTCACAAACAGGCACAGGAGCACCACGGAGCCGGGAGAGAAACCCGAGTGGCAGGGGCCCGGGAGGGAGAGCCACAGCGGGACGCACGGCAGGGACTCGGAGACACCCCTGTCGTGTGGCCAGGCGTGTGAGGGAAAGCTGAAACGTAAGACAGTCACAGAAGATGCTGGAAGAAACCACATGGAGCGTCTACAAATGAAAATTGCAATGTCTGAAAGGAGACATTCCTTGGGAGGAATGAGCAGTAGGTTTTGCTGAGGAAAAGATGAGTGAACTGGACATAACTATAGAAACTACTTATCTAAAGCAAAGAGACCAAAAAAAAAGACTGAATATGTGACGAGAGGCGGGTGGTCTGTGGATATAGATCTATCTGTCTGTCCCTCTGGGTTGGGAGCGGAGACCCAGGGGACGAGAGAAGACTTGAAGAAATAAAGACTGGAAAATGTCCAAATTTGATGAAAACTGGTAACACATGGTTCCAAGAATCCCAGTGAACCCCATGGGAATAAACAAAACAGAAATCTGTGGACTCTAGCACATTCTGAGAAACAATAAGAAGAAAATCTTAGAAGCAGCAAGAGAAAAAACATCACCACATATGTACAGTGGAATCTATCCTATATAATAAAAGGGTAATATGCAAATAGACTGAACGGCAGAACCACTGAACAACCAATCAAAGTGTAATATGGTAATGATATGCTAAGGCTGCTCAACCACTTGCTATGACGTGCACTGACCACCAGGGGGCAGATGCTCCAACTGGTAGGTTAGCTTGCTGCTGGGGTCCAGCCAATCAGGACTGAGCAAGATGGACCAGCCACGCCCTGAAGCCCTCCCACAGTTCCTCCCCAGCCCAATCGTGCACCAATGGGGTTCCTCAGCCTAGCCTGCACCCTCTTGCTTTCCGGGACCCCTCAGGGGATGTCAGAGAGCTGGTCTCACCCGATCCTGCAGGCCACTCCCCTTGGGAGGGTTCCAGATGCAGGGCTCACAGTGGGTGAGACTCTTCCTATCGGGACTGATTGGGCGGGAGCCCACAGCAGGCACAATGGGGTCAGGAAGAGCAAGAGCGGCAGGTAGGAATTGCAAGTGGCATTGGACTGCGGGTTTCAGTCTGATCCTTGCAGGCCACCCAGAGGGACCCCACCTGTGCACGAATTCAGGCCTCTAGTATATATGTATAAGGCTAATATACAAAGTGTCCCCACGGGAGTTCAGGAGACTGGGAGTACTAACGCTCACTATAACATGTGCTGACCACCAGGGGGTGGCATGGAGTGAAGGAAAGCCCTGGCTGGCAGCCGGCAGCTAGGGAAGGGAGGCTCCAGCCAGCAGCCGGTGAGCCCCAATCGGCCCTGATCACCAGCCAGGCATAGGGACCCTGCTCGTGCACAAATTTCACGCACTGGGCCTCTGGTGAAAGAATGACTGCAGACTTCTTATCTGAAACGGTGCACCAGAAGACAATAGAACAGCATCTTTATTTATTTTTAAAAATATATATTTTATTGATTTCTTATAGAGAAAAAGAGAGAGAGAGAGTTAGAAACATCAATGAGAGAGAAACATCGACCAGCTGCCTCCTGCACATCCCCCACCAGAGATGTGCCCACAACCAAGGTACATGCCCTTGACGGGAATCGAACGCGGGACCTTTCAGTCTGCAGGCCGACGCTCTATCCACTAAGCCGAATCGGTTTTGGCTAGAATAGCATCTTTAAAGAGTTGAAAAAAATCTATAAAAAGAAACCACACAACCCTTCAAAAATGAAGGCAAGCCCGGTAAAGAGTATGGCGTTCTTTTCGGGGGGTGATAAAAAACTTCCTCAAATTGGTTGTGGGGATGGTCGCACGGGTTGAATTCCCTATCAACCTTCGAGTGGGATGTCACTGTTAGCGTGTACACGAACAGCAGTGTCAGTGAAGTAGTCAGTCGGAAAACAAAGACGTGTAGACACACAGACGCTGAGAGAATGTGTTGCCATAAGTCCTGCACCTGCAACACAGTTAGAGGCAACTTTTCAAGCTGAAGGAACGCGTCAAAAGACACTGAGAAGAAGCAAAAGCAAGCTGTCAGCTGGTAGATAATACGTGTGTCCTGGAGCACTGGTGTCCACAATATATAAAGAGCTTCTGCAAGTCAATATTAGAAGAGGAAGGAAATGGGGGAAAAAAGAAAACCCTATTAAAAAGTGGGCAAACGCGTTTAACATGTGCTCCCCGGAATAGGTATGTGAGAAAGAGGCTGAGCATCGTCCGCACCAGGGGAGGCAGCTTGGACTCAGGTGAAATACCATCCTAGAGCCCCCAGAATGCCCGAAACTGAGATGGAGGGTGTGGGGTGTCGGTGAGGACCGGAGCGAAAGGAGCTCTCGGGCACCCTGGTGGGACCGCCGAAGGGTGCCGCCTCCGGGGGAGGCAGTTGGCAGGTCACACAGGTGGCCTGTGACCCCGCACCTCCCCTCCGCGGGGCCCGCCGGCTCCGTCTGCTGGTGAGGGTGAGGCGCTGCGGCTCCGGTGTCACGGGCTGGCCTGAGGGCACCCGCAGGGACGCGGCAGCACTGGGTGAGGGACCGGCAGGAGGTGGCGGTGTGGGCCGTGGGTCCTGGCTTGTCACTCCTTCTCTCGTTTCAGGCTGCCCTTCCCGCCCGGAGACCGCGTGACCTTCAACGGGAAGGAATGCATGTGCCAGAAGTGTTCCCTGCCCAAGTCCGCGGGGGGCAGCGCGCACCCGTCCCAGGGCCTCTGGAGTGAGTGGGCGCTGAGTGGCGGGGGGAGGGGGGGTAAGTGGGGGAGGTGCTGACCAGAGGTGGGGGGATCGTAAGGAAGGGAACCGGGATAGAAATCTCCGGCACATTCGTGCCGTCAAACCTTTGCACGGGCTGTGCCCGCTGCCCCGTGAGCCACTCCTGCTTTCCACCCACCTCCCTCCCTGTTTGGCCCAGCTCTGGCCTGCCTCCTCCAGGAAGCCCTCCTGGCCTGCCTCTCGTCCTCTCCCTCCTGCTCACTCGGCCCCCAACCATCAGCTCCAGGCCTTCTAGACGCCCCTTGGAAAGCCCTTAAAAGAGCATTGAACTTGGCTCCTGCGGTCAGGGGCTGCACATTGCAGGAGCCTGGTCAGGGTGCATATGCAGTAGGTGCTCAATATGTGCTTCTTGCATGTAGAAGCTGGAGATCGTTCCTCTAAAAGCAGCAGCGCCAGCTGCCTGTGGGTGTGGGCACAGTGAGATCGGGCAGGCGCAGGCAGGTGCTGGCCTTTGCCGGCGGGGGTGACCGAGAGGGATGTGGGGCCGGGGCCGGGGCCCCAGCGTTCCGGGCCCTGCTGCTGCCTCGATCCCACTGCAGAGGTGGTGTTTGGAGCCCCCGCTGCGTGTGGGGTCGCTGTGGTGTCCCAGCACCTGGGCCACGTGGCCTGGGACAGCGTGGGGGTTCCTGCTGATTTCCGGAGCCGGGCCGTTGCCCAGTGTTGGTTCCTCCGGCCCACGTGGTTCCCATCCATCCATCCATCCATTCATTCATTCATTCCCCCTCCCCCCACCTGGGCAGCGAGTGGAGGAAAGCCACCCATCCCTCAGACGCTGGACCTTGGAGCTAGAGTCTGTCTTAAAGTCATTTTCCAAAGTTGCATATGGTTTGGATGGTGTGATAATTTGGGAAAGCCAGAGCTTGCAAGCAGCCCTGGGACCGTTATGGCTCTGGCTGGAGGGTGCACCTGCCCAGGCCCAGGTGCTCCACCCCTGGCAGGCAGGCCTCTGTCTCCCCAGCTCCCGGCCCAGTGCATATAGTCAGTGCCCAGCCACGGCCCATGCATTCAGTCAGCGCCGAGCCACGGCCCGGTGGATGCAGTCAGTGCCCAGCCACGGCCCAGTGTGTGCAGTCAGCTCAGCCACGGCCCGGTGCATGCAGTCAGCTCAGCCACGTGGGAACTAGCTTGGTGACTTGTTTTTTACATGTGCGCCCCCTGCCCTGTAGCAGGTCCCCACAGCACACCAGCCAGACTGTCCCCTCCGTCTGCTCCCCAGGGCACTCACTGCTTTTGGGGTGTCCCGAGACCCGGCGCTGAGGCTCCCCCTCCCCTGGGCCCGGCGGTGACCTGTGTCCTCTCTGCAGGCTGCGGGGGCTGCGGCGCAGAAATAAAAAACGGCCAGTCCCTGGTGGCCCTGGACAAGCACTGGCACCTGGGCTGCTTCAAGTGCAAGACCTGCGGGAAGGAGCTGAACGCCGAGTACATCAGCAAGTGAGCGGGCTGGGCCGGAGCCTCGGGGTGGGCCCCACCTGTCCCTGCCTCCCCGCTCCTTCCCGTCTCCACTGGGAGGCGGGAGCCTGGCCGGGCTGGCGTCTGTCCCACGCCGTGCAGCCTGGCTGCCTTAGGGCTCTGCAGAGACGCCACGCCATTCATTTTGCTGACGGAGCAGATGTCACGCTCCCATCTTTGACAGTCACATGCCTCCCGAGCCCATCCTCCAGGTCACCCCCCCCCCCCCGCCCTGGGAATTTGCCCCCTGCTGGCACCGGCTCTCCTGCACAATGCAAAGTGGCCAGCAGCCAACGCCAGTCCTGCGTGAGGGGCTGAGGGCTGTGCAGTCTCCGTGGTCACAGCGTGACACCTCAGCCCGGGCTCAGCCCTCTCCTGCGCAGGCCCACCCAGCGCTCCTGTGCGCTCCGGGGGCCGATGGCTGGAGCGGGGAGGGAGCCTCAGGGAGAGCTGGCCCTGCGCGGGCACCTGTGTGCCAGGGCACACATCTTCGTCCAGAGCCCGGACAGAGACAGGGAGCCCGGCACGGGAGGGGGGGGTGCAGCGCGGCCTCGGCTCCCAGCAGCAGCGTCTCTGCGCAGCTCTGGAACCTCCGCCGGTTCTCGTGCCCCAGGGGAGAGGGCACCCAGGGACAGGCGGTTAAAGAAGTCCTGCCATAAAACGGCACGGATGCAGCACACATGCACGTGCACACTGACACACACATACCGGTACATCCGTGCACACGCAGACATGCTGACACACGTGCACACACGCACACGCTGCACACATACACCGGCACGTGCACGCACATGCTGGCACATGCACACATGCTAGCACCTGCTGGTGCATACCTATCCTGGCACATGCTAGTACACACATAGACTGGCATTGTCACATACATGCTGGCACACATGTATACTGGCACATGCTGGCATATGCCCACACATGCACAAGCTGGTGCGCACACATATATTGGCACACACACACACACACACACATGCACACAGAGGAGGTGGACCCCATCACTTCTGGTGCCTTCCCTCAGATTCTGCAGGAGGCCTTGCTGGGTCTGTTTTCTCTCTTTCACCTGCACGTGCCTCTGTTTACCTCAGGACAAACGGTTCAGGGGAGCACCTCGTGCGGGGCAGCCCCTGGTCCCTGCGGCTCCCGGGAGGAGAGGGAGGAGCGCCGAGGTGAGGGCGGCCAGCTTGTGTGAAAGGGAAGCCAGCTGTCCAGCCTGGGGAGGCAGCGGCCCTGCCCCGCCCACACTGCCTGTTACCTAGCAGCCTCCGACTGCCCCAGACTGAGGAGGGTGCCTGGGCGTCACCATGGAGACACCATCTTTGAGCCTCAGGGGTGTGCTGCACGCCCACCTGTTTGTGGGAATCGCAGGGCCCGAGGCTGGCGGCCTTTGGAAGTGGCTCCTCGGCCCGGGTTCTACCTCCCTGGCCTGTGAGCCCAGGCTTCCCCCCCGGGCAGAGGCACCCCTGCAGCCCAGGGCCTGTCCTCCCCCGCCCCCGCCCCCACCGCAGGCCCCGCCCCTCCGCAGACACCCTGTCTAGAGGAGGTTGATCATCAGGATAATCACAGTCACTTTCAAATGAGCTCGCAGCCAGCCACACGGCTCAGGGGTTGAGTGACGACCTAGGAACCCGAAGGTCACGGTTCGATTCCCGGTCAGGGCAAGGCCTGGGTGGCAGGCTCCATCCCCAGTGTGGGGCGTGCAGGAGGCAGCCGGTCAGGGTTTCCCCCTCATCATGGATGTCCCAACTTGCTCTCCCTCTTTTCCTCTGAAATTTAAAAAAAGAAAAGAAATGAGCTCCCGGGTGGGCAGATGCTGGACCCAGCGCCGTGCCTGCGTGATCTCCCGTCCATGCGCACCGGGTCCTTTTTCCCACGCCCCCCTCTGTGGGGGCTCCGTGGTTAAGCGACCTGCCCCAGGCTGTCCGGATACCCAGGGGCAGTGCCCAGACGGTGCGTCACTCGTCACTAATACCACCGCCACGGGCACCGCCTGGCGCCGAATAGGCCCGCTGTGCACCTCAGGGGGCGCCGCCAGCCCCTCCCTCTGCCGCTGAGCTGGGCAGGTGGCCCGGCGCTCTGCACCTCGTTTCTCCCTCCCTGAAACGGGACCGTCCTCACGGTCTCTCGTGGGGCTGGCGTGGTGCTGGAGGGCGGGCCTGTCACCGGGAGGAGGAGGAAGTGGCTTGTCCCTCTGCCACAGCCCCTCTCCCGGGCGAGGGTTGGGTCTTGGGGCGCCCGCCCTGACTGCTGGCTCGTTGCAGGGATGGGCTGCCCTACTGCGAGACGGACTATCACGCCGAGTTCGGCGTCCGCTGTGACGGCTGCGAGAAGTACATCACGGGGCACGTGCTGGAGGTGAGGCCTGTGTGTGTGCGAGAATCTGCACCGCCTGGTCCTCCCGCCCTGCCTGGGGACCCGGGAGCCAGCCACCTCCTCCAGGAAGCGCTGCAGGGCCTCTCCCTGTGCCCTTGACGAGCTGCTGGAGCTGGAGAGGTGCGAGGCCGGAGGTCCTGGTTCAGCCTGAGGCCTAGATGGGGAGGCCGGGAGGGCTTAAGCGGGCGCCGCAGGCAGGCTGTGTGCCGGGGGCAGAGGGGCCTGGTCGCCCGGCAGGCTGGGTCACGAAGCACTTGCAGGCCAAAGCCCTCGCGCCCGGGGCCCAGGCTGCCGCCCTCACCCAGCCCACCCCTCCTCGGCTCTGGGCTGCTGGCTGCTGTTGGGGCTGCCGTGGTCCCTGGGGGAGGCGGGGTGACAGGACCTCAGGGAAAGGCAAGCAGCTGAGCATGGGGTGTGTGCGGGGGGTGGAGGGTGTGTGCGGCGGGGGGGGGGTGGAGGGTGTGGGGGGGGTGGAGGGTGTGCGGGGGGGGGGTGGAGGGTGTGTGCGGGGGGGGGGTGGAGGGTGTGTGCGGGGGGGGGGTGGAGGGTGGGAATGGGGGGGCGGCGGACCCAGCCCAGGTCCCAGAAGCGGCCTCTGGGGAGCGGACAGGTTGGGGCTGAGACTGCAGAGCTGCCCACACCCCCAAGGGAATCCTCGGGACTGACTTGCATTTTAATGGCTGCCTCCACCTCGAGGGCAGTGAAAGGAGCCGCTCAGCACGCTGTGGCCTCGCTCACGGGGACAGGAAACTGGGGCGCGTGAACACACACGGCAGAGGGGGGTTGCCGGCAGGCGGGGGCGGGGGAGGGGGCCCTAACACTGTATCTGGTGCCGGGAGGAGAGGGGACTGGGTGGTGGGCCCACGGCGCCAATACAGATCCTGTACCAGGGACAAACCCACCCCAGCACGTGTGTGCGCGAGTTGGTGCTGCAGGAGTGTGACCTGGCGGCTTCCCGACAGCCGTGGGCCATGCCCCTGCGCCCCGGAGCGGAGACCTGCCCCAGCCCGCGGCCTGCCCGCTTCTTGGCCCCACAGAGGCTCCAGAACTGTCCTCAGGGACGCACGGACAGGGCCTGGGAGCTGTCCCCAGCTCAGGGCAGGCCAGGGGTGCCTGATAGGGGGGCCGGGGCAGCCCGCAGGCCTCCCTGGGTGGACCCGAGGCACCAGGGAAGGCGACCAGTCTGCAGAGTAAGCGGATGGACGGTGTTGGGTTGCAGCCGAGCACAGCACGGGGTGCGCTGTCTGCCCTCCCCCAGACGTCCCCCACAATGCTTCTGTGTCCTGCGGAGGCTGAGGCTGCGGGAAGATGGATGCCCGTGTTCTCTGCCGGAGCCGGGCTGGCTGCTCCCTCCCGGGAGAGGCGAGGCGGCAGCGAGGGCGGGCGGAGAGGAGCCGGGGGAGGCGAGCCGCTGGCAGCGGGAGAGCAGCCGCCCTGGCGGCTCCCCGGAGCCCGGAGCCCGCCGGAGCGCCCCTGAGGCTGTGCGGGCAGCGGGCCGGGCGGCAGTGGCAGGTGCAGGACCTGAGAGAGATGGGAAGGCCCAGGCCGCTGGCCGCGGGGTGAGGCAGGTGGCCGTCCTCACGGACACGCTGCCCGCCCAGGCCCGTCCCGGGAGCAGGCCGTGGGCTCGGCTGATCGGACGGGGCTTTGGTACCAGAACCCCGGCAGGTAGGCAGCCTGGCCAGGTGCCCCCGAGGGCTGGCGGGGAGGCCAGAGGCGCCGTGCGGGGCTGCAGGTGGGGGCTTGCAGGGAGCAGGGGCACCTGTCACCCCCTGCCCCCCATTTGGCCCCCAAGATGTTTGTCACCCCGAGCCAGAGCGGGAGAGCAGCCGGCCCTGTCCTCGCTGCCGGCAGGAGCCCCGGTCTGCCCGCACCTGCTGTGCGTGCCCAGGCAGAGCCCCACCTCAGTGCTGCCGCCGGCTGTGTGCCTCAGCGGCAGGGGGCACTCCCTCCCCGCCTCCCTCTCTCACATCGGAGGCATCCTGTACCCCGGTCCCCGAGTCCTGCATGTCGGGGTCTGTCCTGATGGGCCTGCTCCATGCTGGACCGGGAGGAGGAGCCTGCTGGGCCTGCAGGGCCTGGGAGGGGCTGGTGGTGGGGGCGGGAGGGGGCTGGGGGGGACCGAGGTACCTGGGGCAGAGGTGGGTCCTGGAGCAGCTCCTGTCCCACGCTGGGCTCCGGGGATGGAGGCGCCCAGGGAGAGCGCCAGGAGGGGCTGGGGAGCGGCCGGGACAGCAGTGCAGCCAGAGCCTCCAGATCAGCCGAGTGAGGGGGAGCGGACCTGCTCTCACCCCCCGCACACCCACCTCACTCCCCATTCCGTTCTCAGTAGAATTAGCCGCCAGATAGGGGAGCAGGCGAGGATGGGGTGCTGCTGTCTGAGCCCCACCTGTGTCAGCAGCCTCGCTGTCCCCATGGCAACGAGAAAGCAAGTTTCCTCTGGGACCACCCTTCCCTCCCTCCTTCCCTCCCTGCCTGCCTCCTCCCTCCTCAGCCCACACTCCCCTCGCAGGCCCCGCGGGCTGGGCCGCCTTCCTGAGAAGGTGGGGACGGGTCCCTGCCTGCCTGCAGGAGACCCCGTGGGAGGGGGGCCGCCCAGCCCCGCCCGCCTTGTCATCCGTTTCCCCGCTCCTGCGCCCATGGACACGGCCGATGCTGCCGTGAGCGTCCGTGTGCGGTGCTGAGGGGACCCCGTCCTCCTCTCTCTTGTTCTGGCCTCTTCACCTTCCCGCGGCCCGGGCCAGGGCCGCCGGGTCCCCTGGCGATTCTCCGCTTTCTGGGACTGACGGTTCCAGGCAGCTGCACCGTTACCTTCCCGATGCCCGGGCCCCGTTCCTCCACGTGCTCCCCGACGCCAGCTGCTTCCGGTTCGCTCTGCTCCAGCGTCACCCCGGGCTGCACGGGTGCCTCGGGGTGTGGGTGCCTCTCGGGGTGTGGGTGCCTTGGGGTGTGGGTGCCTATGGGGTGTGGGTGCCCCACGGGGTGTGGGTGCCTCTCGGGGTGTGGGTGCCTCAGGGTGTGGGTCCCTGCGGGGTGTGGGTGCCTCTCGGGGTGTGGGTGCCTGTGGGGTGCGGGTGCCTCGGGGTGTGGGTGCCTCGGGGTGTGGGTGCCTGTGGGGCGCGGGTGCCTCTCGGGCTGTGGGTGCCTATGGGGTGTGGGTGCCCCACAGGGTGTGGGTGCCTCAGGGTTGTGGGTGCCTCAGGGTGTGGGTCCCTGCGGGGTGTGGGTGCCTCGGGGTGTGGGTGCCTGTGGGATGTGGGTGCCTGTGGGGTGTGGGTGCCTCGGGGTGTGGGTGCCTCGGGGTGTGGGTGCCTCGGGGTGTGGGTGCCTGTGGGGTGTGGGTGCCTTAGGGTGTGGGTGCCTGTGGGGTGTGGGTGCCTCAGGGTGTGGGTGCCTGTGGGGTGTGGGTGCCTCTCGGGGTGTGGGTGCCTGTGGGGTGTGGGTGCCTCTCGGGGTGTGGGTGCCTGTGGGGTGTGGGTGCCTCGGGGTGTGGGTACCTGTGGGGTGTGGGTACCTGTGGGGTGTGGGTGCCTAGGGGTGTGGGTGCCTCGGGGTGTGGTGCCTGTGGGATGTGGGTGCCTGTGGGGTGTGGGTGCCTCTTGGGGTGCGGGTGCCTCGGGGTGCGGGTGCCTCGGGGTGTGGCGCCGGCTCCTTCGTGGCCCGGGGGCACAGCCCCTGCTCCTGGGCCACGCGGACGTCCTCTCCGGCGATGCCCGCGCCGTGGCCGGCCGGCAGGGCTGTGCTCTGGTCCGGGCTGGAAGGGTGCCGGCACATTCCGGTCTGTGATGGCAAACACCTCCACCTGCCTCGGCGGCCCTCCGCCCTCCAGTGAGGGTGCTGCTCGTGTGTGTGGGTCCCGTCCAGGACCCCCTGCCAGGGAGCCGTGCAGAGGACCCCGTGCTTCCTTCTGAGTTCATGCGTGTAGCTCGCACATTGGGCCACATGGGGGCAAGCTTTGCCGGGCGTGTCTTAGCCCCAGCAGAGCACGCACCGGACACGCAGCTTCATACATGTTCACAGACTGGACCCTGTGCCACCAGCCCCCGGACAAGAGTGTGTCAGCAACCCTAATACCGGGGGGCCCCCACACCCCCAGGCAGCCACCACCCCGGCTGAGAGTGCTTCCGTTTGTGGGGATGGAGCCCTCCTAGTGTCTGGCTGTTCCAAGCCCGTCTGGGGTCCTCTCGCCGCACGCGGGGTCACCTGGGCCTGGTCCCCGCTGACAGTGGGGGGGGGGGCGGCTCGTGATGAAGCTCACCCTGTCGCTCGCTCGAGGGGAAAGTGACTCTGACTCAGGCGAGTCCAGGGAGAGGTTGTGGGCTCTTCCCGTTTCAGGAAAGAGTGAGCCATGGGGATCAGCACCCACTTTTTTTAATCCTCACCTGAGGATTTTTTTCCGTTAGTTCTAGAGAGAGTGGAAGGGAGGGAGGAGTCGGTGGGGGGGGGGGGAGAGAGAGAGAGAGAAGAGAGAGAGAGAGAGAGAGAGAGAGAGAGAGAGAGAGAGAGAGAGAGAGAGAGAGAGAGAGAGAGAGAGAGAGAGAGAGAGAGAGAGAGAGAAACATCGATGTGAGAGAGACACATCGGTGGTTGCCTCCTGCCCCGGCTGGGGCTGGGGAACTTGCTACTGAGGTCCATGCCCTTGACCAGGAATCGAACCTGGGACCCATGAGTCCACAGGCCAATGCTCTATCCACTGAGCAACACCAGCCAGGGCCACATCCACTCTTAGCCACAGGCTGCAGCCCCCGCCCTTCCCTGCAGGGGTAAGAAATACTCACTATAAAGTGAGACAGTACTTTAAACACAATGCTTTGGGGGTGGTTTGGACTTTATTTGTTTGTTTTTGGCACCATGCAGAACTAAGCAGAACCAGTGGGTGTAATTAGTTTAGGTTATTTCAGTATTAACACGTAAACCTAATTTAATGGGCTTTAAGAATCATGAAAGTCATAAATGCTAAGAGAGAAAATCAAGCAATGCAGAGATGCCTAAGAAAACTACTAATTTTCTCCCCTGGGCTTCCCTGGTACAGAGGTGACCAGTGACTGGCTGGCCCTCCACCTCCTGGGGGAGGTACAGGGAGGCTGCCCTCGGACGGCTGAGTCGGCGCTGCCGACGCCAGTGGCCTGGCTAGGCCTCTGTGCCCAGACGTGGTTCCCAGAGGGCAGAGCCAGCTGGCACCCACAGCACCGGCCGCTCCCCCGATCGGGCTCTGGGACTCCCTGTTGGCAGCATGCCCGCCCGCACCCCGGCACTGGCTGCACCCACAGGGCCCTCGCTCTGTCCCCACAGGCCGGCGAGAAGCACTACCACCCGCTGTGCGCGCTCTGCGTCCGGTGCGGCCGGATGTTCGCCGAGGGCGAGGAGATGTACCTTCAAGGTAAGCTGGGCACACCGCCTGTCCCGGGGCAGGTCCGGCATCGCCCAGGCCCACCGCACACGCTGTGTGAACTGGGGGTCACGGGTGTGCTCCGCTAGTGAGGGGGCCCACGAGGCAGCGGGAGCGGGGACGGGCCCAGGCAGGCGTTCCTGAGCGGCTTGGCAGGATGGCGGGTGGGATGGACGGAGGGCATGGTGGGAGGCAGAGCCCACGGGCCTGGTCTGCCTGGAGGGGGACAGGACCCTCCTGAGAGGCCTCGGGGAGGGTGTTTGGTATCGAGACCCATCTCTTTAAAATAGATTTGTGTTGATTTCAGAGAGGAGGGGAGAGGGAGAGAGAGAAACTTCAGTGATGAGAGAATCACGGACCGGCTGCCTCCTGCACGCCTCCACCGGGGACGGAGCCTGAAGCCCGGGCCTGGGCCTGACGGGAGTGGAACTGTGGCCTCCTGTTCGGGAGTCAGAGCTCACCACTGAGTCGCAGGGCCGGGCGAGACCCAGCTCCTTGGCTGCAAGTTCTTTTCAATGATCCCTCTGTGCCCAGCGTTAGGGGCCACCGGGCATGGCGGGCAGGGCCAGGCCGCACACTGCCCCGCGTTTGCTCAGGGGCTGTGTGATGGCATGCGGCGACATCTGGGCCAGCTGCCACACAGGCCTCTCTTGCTGCGGCCGAGCCTCACGGGTGATGTCAGCCAGGATGGCCGGTCCCCAGCGTCCCCTCCTGTCCCTCCTGTCCCCGCGGCAGAGCCCGTGCAAGAGGCCCTTTGTGCCCCGACAGCAGGGCTGGGCTGCCTGGCGGGAGGGGTGCCCCCCAGGGCCCGCCCCCACCGCGATCCGTCCTTCCTGCCCCAAGCCCGGTGGTCAGGACGGCAGCTGGGGACGTGAAGTCACCCCACGGGGGCCCCGTGTCAGCACAGACACTCATCCGGGCCCTGGGTTGAGGCGGGCGCCAGGGGGAAACTGATTTCTGCGGGGCCTCCCCGGCCCACCCCGCTCCCGGCCTCGGTCTCCGGGGGGTTAGATGAGGTCTGACCAGGACGAGGTTTTCAAGCTCCAAGCCACAGACCCCAGGACCCCTCCCCTGCCTGGATCCCCGACCCTTTGCCTGGTCTGCCAGGTGCGGGGCTCCACGCGGGTGTGACCTGCAGGTGACCCAGGCAGGAACGCTCTGAGGAGCAGGGTCCCCGGGCGGCCTCCCAGCCCAGACTCCCCGTAAGCCCGGCCGGGGTGTGGCGCTCAGGATCATCGGGTTAAATGACAAGGAGCGGTCCCTCTGTGCCCACGGCGCTGGCCAAGGGCGTGTCCCCATACCCTACGTCCTAGCTTCGAGGCCGCGGGCCTCTGGCCTGGCGGGTGGGGCGAAGGGGGGGTGGCCACAGGCCTCGGGGGCATTACAAACGCCACGGCAGGGAGCCCCCGTGGAGCCGCGAGCTTGCGGTGTGTCTGCCGTGCCACGTCCCCGCGCTGGGCGTGAGGCCCCTGGGGCAGGGCTGCACTGGCCTGTCCAGGCCCAGCTCAGAGCGTGTCCGGGGGCTCCTCGGAGGTGATGGCCGAGTGGACATCCGTCCGTGTGTGAGCCCCTCCCCCGCCCCGACTCCCCCAAGGCCCTGCCTCGGGGAGTGGCACTGACCCCCTGGAATCTGTCCCCAGGCTCCTCCATCTGGCACCCCGCCTGCCGACAAGCAGCCAGGACGGAGGACAAGAGCAAGGTGGGTCCGTGTCCGATGTCCCTGCCACGTCTCCGTGCTCGGTGTGTCAGGCAGCGTCCACGGGCTGAGGGGAGTGGACGGGACGGGGGGGGGGGGTGTCAGGTGTAAACAGTGGGTCTGGGGTCGGTGCAAGTAGCTCCCCTTGTCCTCTGACCTCCTCATTTGCTCGGGAGGCTGACGGCCACATACCTTTGGGGACAACTTTGAAGTTGGCGAGTCCCCAAGCGGTCACTGCCATTTTGGCTCCATTCCCAGAACGGTCACTAGAAGGGCAGGCCGAGGGGCTTGACACGAGAGCAGCCCCCCCACGGCCCCCACCTCTTTCCTCCTCCTCGCTGCCACCTCCCTGGGGCCGGGCCCTGATCCCCTCACCTCATAGGGACCCTGCAGTCACTCTGGACCCCCGAGAATCCAGAACAGCGCCCCCCCTCTCCCTGGCCCTTAGTCGGTCTGCAGTCCCCGTGGCCACACGAGGCAGCAGCTGCGGGTGTGGCAGTGAGGGCCTGAGCCTGTGGGGACGCTGCCTGGCCTCCCGTGGGGACAGGCCTGACCATCACTGTGTCCTGTGGCCGCACGAGGCAGCTGCCCGTCACCCTCTCCCACGGTGCCTGTGCCGCCGGTCTCACCGATGAGCCGGGCATCACGCCCACCTCCCAGTGCCACAGTCCGTGACCCTGCGGTGACCTCCAGGCCCGACCTTTGTCCGTGGACACCTCCATCCCGGAGGCCAAGCCCAGGCCTGCCCAAGGGGGCCCCCGTGAGTGGCCTCCAGACCCCACGCATGCACGGCGTGTGCCCGGGGAGACCACAGAGGCCACGCGGGGACAGCCAGGGTGGCCACAGCGGCTCCCGGGCCCGAGGGAGCCCAGCGCCAGCCTCTGCTCTCCACCGGAGGCCACCGTGCTGCCCGTGGCCACAGCCCCGTGGAGGCTCTGCACCCGGAGGCTCTGCCTCGGAGGGACAGGAGGGAAGGACAAGGAGGGAGGGACAGGGAGGGCAGGTCACGCCCGCAGCTGCGCAGCCGTGGCTCCCGGGCCGTTCCCAAGACATTTTGGGAGCATTTTGGGGCAGGCTGCGGCTGGTGCGGCTGCCTCCTCGGCGCGGTGCCCGGGGCTGGCCTGCCCCTCGGTGCCTGGGGCCGGGGGCCAGGGCCCAGCCATGCCCTGCTTATCCCCCGTTTCCCCTCCAGCCCTCAGGCCTCTGTCTCGCCCAGGAAGTGAGGTAGTGTCTGGGGCTGGGTGGCCAGGCGGAGGGATGGGTCAGCTGGCTCTCCCTGGGGATGGGTCCAGGGACAGTTCTCCAGCCAGCTGGCCGCTCTGGACGGGGAGGCAGGAAGAGAGCGCCAGTTAATGACCATGGACCAGCCAGCCCTGCCAGCCCTGCCAGCCCGCAGCTCAGGGTGCGGTGGGCTCCGGAGGGCGGCCGCGGTCATGGCCTCGTGAACCGCTGAAACCGCCCGGTCAGGTGGCGCCAGTGACCTGGTGATCGTCTCAGCAGTCTCCCCCGTGGCCCCTCTGCTCCGGCCCTGGGCCCCGAGAGGAGGCCCCTTCCCGCCCTCGGAGTCAGCTGTGCCTCCGCCCAGCTGTGTGACATCGGGCAGATCACTAGCCCTCTCTGGGCCTGGGCCTCAGCTTTAACCTGGAGACCGGTGGGTGTCAGACCCCGCCCGCTGTGACTCTGTAGTCAGTGCTTCCTGGGGAAGGCTGAGTGGGGGGGCAGAAAGGCGGGGAGCTGTGGCCCCTTCCGACTGTGGGTGCAAACAGCCGGGGCTGCTGCTGACACAGGCCCAGGCCCAGGCCCAGGCCCAGCGCACGGTCAGGACCGCGCCCGGGGACCTGTGGGCCCTCCCGGGCGGGGACACTCCCGGGCGCGGGGGGCGCGGGGCCACCACTGCTGCACCCCGGGCGGGTCTACCCAGCGCTTCTCAACCGTCCTCGCGCTGCGGCCCTTTAGTCCAGCTCCTCGTGTGGTGGTGACCCCGACCACAGGGTGGGAGCCGCCGGTGGGCCGCCTAAGACCATCGGAAGACACGATGTTTACACGACCGTTCATAACAGTGGCAAAATGACAGGGATGAAGTCACCACCACACGAGGAGCCGGGTCAAAGGGCCGCGGCGTCAGGAAGGTGGAGAGCCACGGCGCTCGGGCTTCCTGCCGTGGCCAGCGGGGCCTGAGGTGAGAGGGAGGTGACCTCGGAGCCCAGCTCCTCTCACCGTCAGACAGGAGCCCCCCGGGAGCGGCTTCGGGCTCCTCGGGGGGGAAAGCGGGGGGGCAGAGGGTGCAGGCGTGTGAACTGTGTGTGGACATCGCCTGTGGTCAGTGACACAGGCCTCCTGGCCGCAGGGATGGCGAGAAGAACAGACCCGAGTTACCTGCCTCGGAGTGGCCATCGTACCCGGGGACTGGGGGGTCGGGCTGGGGACCTGGGACTGCGCTGTGGGTTCAGGCTGAGCTTGGGGGAAAGCCCTGGCCCCGCCGGCTTTCGGAAGCCTGTGGTCTGTGGGGACAGGCAGTCCCACCACTACACCCCTTTCGGCAAGCAGAGCCCAGTCCAGGGGCCGGGGAAAGCAGGGCAGGCCTCCCGGAGGCGGCGGCCCAAGCTCGATCCCGGAGGAGCCAGGGGCGTGGAAGGGGGGGCCAGGCTGACGGGGCAGGGGGCGCCCTGCAGAGGTGAGCGGCGAGCATCACGCCCTGTCCCCTCTCTCCCTTCCAGATGCAGAAGCAGGTTTGCCCGGGTGCCACCCCCTGTGCCTTCCAGGTTTGTGCCTGACAGCTGGCCCAGGTGTCCCGTCCTCGCTGCTGTCCGCTGTGTGTAGGGGCGGGGCGTGCTCCGCCGGGAGGGGCGGTCCCCCGGTCTGTGTGAGTCAGGGTCCCGGGCCGACACCAGACACTCTTTCCCCGCCGGAGGCCGGAGGCCGGGCAGGGCGGCCCCTCCCGAGGCCCCTCCGTGGTGTGTACAATGGCCATCTCCTCCCCGTGTCCTACAGGGCCGTCCCACCGTGTGTGTCTGTGTCCTCGTCTCTTCTTTCTTAATATGTTTTACTGACTTCAGAGAGGAAGGGAGAGGGAGAGAGAAACACCGAGGATGAGAGATTCGTGGATCAGCTGCCTCCTGCACGCCCCACACTGGGGATCGAGCCCACAGCTGGGCATGTGCCCTTGACCAGAACCTATCCACTAGGGCAAGCATGTCACACTCAAAGGCCAACGCGGCCCCGCTGAGCCAGGTGTAAGTGGAGGTGGCCGCAAGAAACCAAAAGCTTAAATGTTCATAGACACGTCGGTTTATTTCCATAGAGACAGGCTGAATTCACAGGGCGGAGATAAATGAGTCGTTGTTAATCATCGTTAATGAGCGTTTCCCGTGACCACGCACGGCCGCAGGCCACGGTGTGACACGCGTAAGCGGGGGCTACCCCCTCCTGGCGGGGACTCCTGTCATGTGAGGTCAAGGCCCACCCTGAAGGCCCAGGAACCGATGGCCCTGCCTCTAAACACAGCCGCTCGGGGCCTGTGGTGAGGGCTTCGCCTGCCCATCGGGGGACACCACTCAGCCCTAACGAGGCCCCGTCTGGCTGCTGGCACTGCCGCCGTGTGGGTGCTGAATGGGGGGAAGGGTCTGCCTAGGAAAGGCGAGGGGAGGGGGCAGGGGGCGGGGAGAGGGGCTCGTGCTATTGGCTGGGCGGCCCTGCGAGGGGAGGGTTCTATTTAGACGGGGAGAGGGAGGGCTAGTGGGGGGCTGGGCCAGGCGGGGCCGCACTGGGCCGGGTGAGGGGAGCGGCCACGTCACGCCCCGCAGGCCGGATGGACGCAGGTGCGGTGATCGGGCGGGAGCCGGAGAAGGAGTGTCCACGTGGACACGGGCAGGCTGGCCGTGGAGAGCAGAGGGGACAGTGACCGGGTGCCGTCACCTCGGGGGAAGCAGGGGCTGTGCTCGGAGAGGCAGGGTGCAGGATAGGGTTCCCGCCGCAGTGGGCACTCGGGGCAGGTCTCACGAGTGACGGAGCCCCCGGGCCAAGACACGGGCGCAGTGTGAGCAAGGCCAGCAGTGACCTCGAGGGGCTGTCTCTGAGACCTCACTGAAGTGCGGGACCCAACGCGGCTCCCGCAGAGCCTGCCAGGCCCAGAGAGGCGAGGCGCGCAGCCAGGCGCCTGGGGAAGCTGTGGCTGGGGCTGAGACTGGTCTTTCCGTTCAGGGGACCATCCCCCCAAGTCTGACAGCAGAGCCGCTGCTGCACACGCTGCCCCACGTCCCCGTAATCTGGGCGGAAAAGTCCCTGAGCAGCCTGGTTCTGGGTCCGAGGCGGCCTTGGCCCCGGCGCTCAGAGCCTCGCCTGTTCCTGGCCCCCTGAAGCGGGGCCTCTCTGCGCCACGAAAGCTCGGCACTTGGCGCTGCCCACCCCGCCGGCTTGTAGCGTCAGCGGTCTGTCTGAGTCTCCGCTGTCCGTCAGTGCCTGTTGCTGTGAGAATCCTTCACCCTGACCGGGAAGTCACCGCCGGGAGCCGGCCTCCATGGCCGTGACTGACGGCTGCCGCTGGACGGTCTCCGCTGACCCGTCCTGTTTTCTTTTCTCCGCCTGCCCCCTCGCCCCCAGGAGACCAGGACGTCCTCCGAGAGCATCATCTCGGTGCCTGCGTCCAGCACCTCGGGCTCCCCCAGCCGCGTCATCTACGTGAGTTGGGCCCTTTCTGCGGGCGGGGCCAGGGCCGCCACCCTGCACGGGGCTGGGTGGAGCTTCTGTGGACGGAGAGCCCCCGTGCCCTGGGCTGTGGGAACGAGGGCGCCAGGAGGCGCTCACAGCTGCCGTCGACGGCGGCGCGGAAGTGGCATCTCCCACGCCCTGCACCGGGCGTCCTGAACGCAGGTCAGGCAGGCGTGAGCGCCCTGCACATCTGTGCGTGTCAGCGTGGGCAGTGCCCCTAGCGTGCGCCTCGGGAAGCGTGTGGAGGATCACGTATCATGTACCCATTTCCATTCAAGAGGATGTGTGTGTGTGTGTGTGTGTGTGTGTATTAGTGTATGTGTGTGTGTGTGTGTGTGTGTGTTTGTAAGTGTACATGTGTGGGTGCATTGGTATTTATTTTTTAAATAATTTTATTGATTTCAGAGAGGAAGGGAGAGAGAGAAAGAGTTATAAACAGCAACGAGAATCGTTGATTGACTGCCTTCTGCACGGCCCCCACTGGGGATTGAGTCGCACCTGGGCCTGCGCCCTCGACTAGAATCGAACCTGGGACCCGTCAGTCCACAGGCTAACGCTCTATCCACTGAGCCACACCGGCGAGGGCATGCATTCGTATTTATAACACTTGCTTGTCTGCACATATGGCTGTGTCTGAATGTATGGACATGAATGCATATGTGTTCTGACATGTGCACACAGAGTGTCTGTATTTTTAGACACAGACTGAGCATCACTGTCTGCCCGTGTCGACCCGAAGCAATCCAGTGGGGCCGCCTCCGCCCCTTTGTGGAGAGGCGAGGGCTCCGTCCGGAAGGCGGCCCTTTGTGGCTCCCGTGGGTTCGGGCGGGGCGCAGGCTCGGCTCCTCCACACACTGCCTCAGCCCAGCCTGACCGTCCGCCCTTCCCTCCCCAGGCCAGGCTGGGGGACGAGATCCTGGACTACAGAGACCTGGCTGCTCTGCCCAAGAGCAAGGCCATCTACAACATCGACCGGCCCGACATGATCTCCTACTCGCCCTACGTCAGCCACGCGGGGGACCGGGCCAGCGGCCTCGAGGTACGGCCACCATGGGGGCCCCTCACTGTCCGGCCCCTCACTGTCCCGACCCTCACTGTCCGGCCCCTCACTGTCCCGGCCCCTCACTGTCCCGGCCCCTCACTGTCCCGCCCCTCACTGTCCCGGCCCCCTCACTGCCCCGGCCCCTCACTGTCTGGCCCCTCACTGTCCCGCCCCTCACTGTCCCAGCCCCTCCTTGTCCCGCCCCTCACTGTCCCGGCCCCCTCACTGTCCCGGCCCCTCACTGTCTGGCCCCTCACTGTCCGGCCCCTCACTGTCCAGCCCCTCCCTGTCCCGGCCCCTCCCTGTCCCGGCCCCTCACTGTCCGGCCCCTCACTGTCCCGGCCCCTCACTGTCTGGCCCCTCACTGTCCTCGCTGCTCTCACGGTGGGCATCCTCTGAGGAGTCCTGGCTGGGATCTGCCCAGACGCTCCTGGCAGATGCACGCAGCCCCTGGGGCTGAGCCCAGGAAGCCCTGTGTGGGCGGTGTCAGGAAATGATGGAAACGGAGTCGCATCTGCTTCTTGAGTTCAGGTCGATTTTCACGTGTGAGATGTCGTTTTCCTCCAGCCTCTCCCCATCCCCAGCCGGCCCTCCCCTGTCCCCGTGTCCCTGGCACCGCTGCCACCAAGGACTTACTCCGTGGGTCCATGGGCAGCGTCCATGGCGGACGCTCAGCCTCAGCCGTCCTCGGTTAACTGCGGGCGCCTTGGGTGTCCACTTCCTTGGGGGCTTTGGGATTCCCCTGTGCCCTTGTTGCCTGTGGCCAACAAGGGTGTCTGCCAGCCGGCAGCCCAGTATGTGTGCCAGGCGACTGGGCGGCCTGGGAGCAGAGCCCCTCCCTCCACAGTTGCCAGCAGGGCTGCCTGGGAGGGGGGCTGGGGCGGGCGCCACGTGGAGATGGTGTTGGCGCCAGCCCCGCACCCTGCTGCGTGTGCAGGCACAGTGGCTGGGCACAGCGGCAGCTCAGGGCCGGCAGGTGGGAGGGTAAGGCCAGCAGGGCCCCTCCTCCCTGGCTCTGTCTCTGAGGACCTGCAGGATCTGATGTCAGTCCCAGGAAGAGGCCGGTGGTCAGGGCAGCGGGGCAGGTCTGACCAGGTCTGACCGGCTCCCTCCTCCACGACCTGAGCCAGCCTGGCAGGCAGGGCCTCCTCTTTCCTGAGTGGTCGGCTCGCTGGAGGCACTGGGGGAGGGTGGGGAGGCCAAGCCACTTGGCCAGCACCCCCTGGAGCCAATGTCTGTGGGGTGGACAGTGCTCCCTACGCTAATTTTGGGGGGGGGTCCCCCGGCTGGGAGGCTGCCTGCTCCCAAGGCCCCCGCCAGCAGGGCAGGCCTCCCCGAACCCTGTACCCCAAGCCCCAAGCCCCAAACCCCGCGCCCTGTGCCCCAGACGACCTCTCCTCCTCGGACTCCAGGGCACCGCCTCCCCACGCCCCGAACCAAGTCCCCTTTGGGAAAGCTTCTCGGGGAGCAGGGCGCTCCCTGCCTCTTTCTCGGGGTGCCATTCCCTGCCCGCATTTCTCCAGAAAGAAGGCCTGGGGTCCCAGGGTGTGAGTCTGCCCGTGTCCCCACGAGCAGCCGCGGCCGCGGGCTAACAGGCTGCTCTGTGTTGTGTCCACAGTCGCCCCAGTTGCTCTCGCCACCACCGATCGAGGTAACCGCGCCCCACGCGTGCTCGCGTGCTCCCGGGTCATAAACATAGCCACCTGCCGCCCCGAGGGCGGGGGGCCTTGGCCGTGGCGCCGGGGCCCCTCGGCGCTGGGTATCTTTATGACCGCGCCACCCTGCATGCCGCCCTGGCGCTCCCGTGGCCCTGCAGGTGTGGACGCCCGGGACCCGGCCTGGGCTGGGCACGGCTCCTCAGAGGCACTCCGGGCACCGGGCACGGGCCCAGCGCCTGCGCCTCCGCGGGGGCCATCCCGGAAGTCCTTGCAGTGGAACATTCTGGAGGCATTTCTCTGTTGGTCTCGGGCAGCCTGCTCTTCCTGTTTCCCAGGGTTAATGAGAACAGAGCGGGAGCGGCCAGCCAGGCTCCAGGCTGCATGGGCCTCGGACCCTGGGACCCTGGGACCCAGGGGCAGGGGAGGCGAGGACAGGACGCCTGAGGGTGTGACCAGCCCTGGGGCTGGCAGAGGACGCCCGAGTCAGAGATGGAGCGTGGGACTGGCTGCCCAGCGTGTGCCATCTTCAAGGCGGGGACGGGCAGAAGGGCTCGGGGTGCAGCACCTGCAGGAGGCCTGGCTGAGCTGGGGTGCCTGGGGGCAGGGGTAACAGGGCAAGCTTCAGGGACAATGGCTCATGCGTTGGCTGGAGAGCGAGCCCCAGGGGTGGTGGTAAGCCTGGGGAGGGTGGGCCTGAGTGCCAGGCCCAGACTCTCACTTTGCTCGTCCCCCCACTGGCCTCAGGGACCAGAACAGCTGCATCCTGGGCGGCCAGACACCGGGCCGGGGTGTCAGGGCTCAGGGCCACCTCGTGCTGAGCCGCAGCCTGTTCTCCCCGCGTGCCACGCCATCTCACGCCGCCTGCCGCCCACTCTGACGCTCCGAGCAGCTGCTCATCCCGCTTGATCGGAGCCCGCATGGTCCGTGCTTGTGGGTCTGGCTCAGCGGGGCCCACGCCTGGATTCTCCTGGGGCTGGGGAGAGCACAGAACCTCAGTGGTTCTCAAACTGTGTTCTAAGGAGCCTTGGGTGCTGGGAAGGACTGCAGGAGGGGAGCTGAAGGGTGTGGGAGGACTGGGTGCCTGCAGCTCCATCATGAGCGCCTCAGCCACGTGGGGCTGGTGGAGGGGTGACATGGACGGGGTGCACGGGCACCTTGCTCAGCCTGCAGGGTTAGTTCAGCACCACGGCCAGCTCTCTGCCTCCCCCTCGGTGCCCACAGGTGCAGGGAATGAGCGAGCGGAGGGGCGGGCGTGCTTGCCCGGGCTCACCGTGTCTCTCCCGCAGGGAGACCAGGACGACCGCTCCTCCAGGCAGTGCCGCACCTCCAGCCCCAGCTCCGCCGGGTCCGTCAGCCTCGGGCGCTACACCCCGACCTCGCGGTCGCCCCAGCACTACAGCCGGCCAGGTACTGGGCCCCCCGCTCTGCGGCCCTCCGGGAGCGGGCTCTCTGGTTGCTTTTCCTGCTAAATCAGTCTCTTACCTACTCGGGCCCGTGTGGCTGCCGGTGGCCATAGGGAACCCGCCCACTAGGAGGACCCCTCGTGTCCGGCGGGAGGGTGACCAAGGGCAGCTGTCCGGCTGTGGCCAGAGGGGCTGTGCCACGGAGCTCGCGGGCACATCTGGGCACGAGGGCCCTCGCTCTCGGAACTCAGATCTCTGTAGAGCAGACGCCAGGAGACAGAGTCGCCCAGACGGGAGGAACCGTCAGTTCCCAGCTCCCGGGGTCCGGGAGGGGGAAGGAGAGTCAGAGCCCAGGAAATAGTCAGGTCCCGTTGGCTCGTCACCCGCAGCTGGTGTGGCCCCAGGACAGGAAATGGGCAGGAGGCCGCCATCGCCTGCTCAGAGCAGGGGGAGCCGAGGTGGCCCTCTACCCGCCCGACCCATCCCTGCTTGGTGCCTGCTGTGGACGACTGACCCTGAGCCTCCAGCGCCTCAGAGTGTCAAAGTCCCAGGGACACGCCACGCACAAAAGGGCGCTGCCTTTTTGCGGGATTTTTCCACACTGCTTCCTCCTCGGCCCCGCGCATGGCGCCATTTCACACCATCGACAAAGCGCTCAGCCTCGCAGCCTCTGTGGAAAAATCACAGTCACTCATTGGCCAAGCTCTTCCATTGCCCCTGCAGTGCGGCTGGTGCATCTGCTCAGGAACAGGTGTTTGGATGACTGAGTGAGAAAGTGAATAAGTGAGTGAGGGAATGAATGAAAGAGGGAATGAGTAAGTGAGGGAATGAGTAAATGAGTTAGTGAATGAGGGAATGAATGAGTGAGTGAGTGAGTGAGTGAATGAGTGAGTGAGGGAATGAATGAGTGAGGGAATGAGTGAGTGATAGAATGAGTGAGTGACGTAATGAATGAGTGAGTGAGTGAGTGAATGAGGGAATAAGGGAATGAGTGAATGGGTAAGTGAATGAATGATAGAATGAATGAATGAATGCCTGAGTGAGGCAGTGAATGAAAGAATGAATGAGTGATAGAATGACTGAGTGATGGAATGAATGAGTGAGGGAGGGAATGAATGAGTGGGTAAGTGAATAAATGAATGCCTGAGTGAGGCAGTGAATGAAAGAATGAATGAGTGAGGGGATGACTAAGGAGGAAGTGAATCAGTGAGTTGAGAGTGATAGAACGTGTAAGCAAGTGAGTCCGGGAGTGAAGGGCCCTCTGCTGACCCTGACCCCTGTATTGGGGTCACCTGAGCTGTGGACTGTCCCCAGCCAGTGGTAACCCCAGAGCCAAGACCTGGATCTGGGCTGGCGATGCCTGTGGCTGCTGGGGGACAGTCTGGGCACACCCAGCCTAGCCAGCGGCCCTCCACCTGCTGCTTGACCCCGAGGAGCCCCCAGGAGGGGAGCGGGCCGGGCACAGGGGCAGAAGCTCCTGTGCCCAGGGGGCCCAGAGCAGACTGGTGGAGGGCACCGCTGGGGACGCCCCCCTTCAGGTCTGCGTCCTTGGCGAGGAAGCAGGTGCTGCCTCCTGGCGGACTCTGACTTGCTCTCTGTTGCCTGCAGCTGGTACTGTGAGTGTTGGTACCAGTAGCTGCCTGTCCCTGTCCCAACACCCAAGCCCTACGTCCGTGTTCAGGCACCATTACGTCCCCTACTTCCGAGGTAAGGCGCGCAGGGCTGCGGCTGCGTGTGCCACACGTGTGTGTCATGTCCGTGTCGCCGCATGGCTTCCCGAGCCCCGTGTCTCATGCCTGTGCTCCTCGCTGTGTCTCGTGAGTCCAGCTCCGTTTCCGTCAATGTGTGAATGTTCCCGGGGCGGGGGACGTGCAGACAGCTTGTGGGAAGGATGGGGGTGAGGAGAGGGGTAGAGGGTGCAGGCAGAGGTTAGGCCTCTTCATCGCCTGCCCTGGGACCTACATCATCTCATTCTGCTCCCCACCTGCCACTCCCCGGGCGCAGGGATGCCAGCGGCGGGTACCAGGCCCACGGACTGAGGCTGAAGGGGGCAGGGCCATGTCCACAGTCAGAGCACAGCGTAGCCTGCAGGGGGGTGGGGGAGGAGGCTCACGCCCTGCATGGCTCCCAGGGCCAGACCCTGCACGGGATCGCGTGTCCATCCCTCTAGGAACATGGCTGAGCTCTTCTCCCACACGCTGTGGACTGAATTGTGTCCCCCAGAATCCATATGGTGAAGTCCCCCACCACCACCATGTGACCCGCTTCAGGGAAGGGGCTTCAGGAGGTTGTTAGTGCCGAATGAGGGCACACAGGTGGGGCCCCACGCGGGATGGGTGGTGTTGGAGGCGGAGGGGAGATCACAGATCTCTCCGCCATGCCGCCTGCGCTCAGAGGACCGGCCACGTGGAGACAGGGTTGTTGACAAGCCGGGAGGGCAGCTCTCACCAGAAACCACGCCTGCCGCTGACCTCCAGCCTCCGGACCTGGGCAGAGGAGATGTCCGTTATCTAAGCCCTCAGCCCAGGTGTTTGTTACGCAGCCCTCGCTGACTAGTACACCACAGACTCGGCAGGAGCAGGAGCAGCGTGCTGTGCTGCCCTCTGGCCCCGGGGGACAGGAGGAGGCAGGCCCTGCTGGTTACACTGCCCCCTGATGGCCACCGCACAGGCTCCTGGCTTCCCTTAGATGGTCACCCTCCGTGGCTTCTCGTGGCCTCTCAGGTGGGCTGAGGAGAGGCCCCTGGTCCCGGGGACCACCTCCTCCTGGAGCGCCCGTCCTGCCGCCGCGGCCCCTGCTGGACCCACTGACTCTTGAAAAGCAGCCAAGCCAGAAACGGTGCGTTTTGTGACCGTTCCCTTGGGGCACGGTGTGGCTGGGCAAAGAGAGGACCCTTCCGGTGGAGAAACCTGCACCACCACAACCTCGGCCAGGGGACCCGGGTCCACATCACGTGATGGGTCATGTGACAGCAGGTGCCCTGAATTTGACGGGATGAAAGGGCGCCTCTGTGGCCTTCTCCCAAGAACCATGGCCTCGTCTGGTCTGAGGAGAAACCGGGGAGTCCCCGCTGCCAGCCTCTGGCAGAGCACTGAGCCACAGAGAGCCGAGGTGTCAGACAAGGAGAATCTGAGCCACACAGAGCCGAGGTGTCGGAAGGAGAATCTGAGAAAGACCGCGGCCGAGGGCCCAGGAGAGGGACAGCTGGGCAGGACGTGTGTCCAGGCATCCCGGGAGGAAAGTTCTTCCGATAAAAACGGGGGAACGCCGAACCGCGGTGTTTACGGAGCACCGCGGCCGCGATGCCTGGCAAGTGCCCGTCCCTCAAGTCAAAGAGGTGACTTTTAAAAGGCCGGGCTCCCGTCGCCAGAAGCACCGTCCCCGTCTTCTCTTTCTCGCTGAGGGACGAGCCTCCCGGCAGATGTCCGAGGCCCCCTCCCTCAGGAGCCGCGAGCCTGGCCGAGAGACCTGTGCCTTTTCCTCGGTTCTCGCCGTCCACGGGGACACCAGCCGGGATTTCACCGCCACGGCCCGGAGGCGGCTGGTCCCGGGCGGGAACCAGGGCCTCCCCAGGCCTCTCTGCCCTGTTCCTCCCGCGGAGGAGGCCACGGGAGTGCGCACCCTGCAGGCTGTCATGGACATTCTGGCAGCTGACATGCCCAGTGGTGCACGTGGCCTCGCGGGGCAGAGGCTGGCACACGGTTTATTACCGCGGACTCACCGTGAGCGGGCGGCGAAGGAAGCGTGTGGACACGTGGGGAGGATGGGGAAGGGGGTTCCAGGCGGGCACGAGGGGGAGGCGAGGGGCGGCCAGGAGGAAAGGATGTGAGCAGAGAGGCGTCTGGGGCTGGGCTGAGGTCTCAGGCGGTGGCTGGTGTGGAAGCCCCTGATGGCGGAGGAGGAGGGCGGGGTGGGCGGGGCCGCCACGGCTGTGTCCCAGCTGCCCCCGGGTCTGGGCCCCTGAGCGCCGGGTGAGGCTGGTGGCTCCTCAGAGAATTGTCCACACACAGTCCTGCCAGGGACCTGGGAGCCGCTGCCCGCGGCTGGGCGCCGGGGACGGAGACCTGGGCCTGTGGGGCCGTGGCCGGGGCGGGATGGGTTCCGGGAGAGAGTGAGCCCTGGAGGCCTCGGCTCCGGGGATGGTGCCGGGGGAGCTGCGGTCACGCTTCTGGCCTCCGAGCCTGTGGGCTGGTACCGCTGAGTCACAACCACACGTGGAGGGAGGGAGGCCTGGGAGCCTTGCTCCCTGGGGCGGTGCGCAGGCAGGGAGCTCGGGGCGGCGCCACATGGCGCTGGGTGCGGCCGCCAGGGAAAGGCCGGCTCCCACCAGGAGGGGCTGGACAGTTGTCTCCCTGATGCCCCGTCAGTGCCGACAGGTGGCATCGGCCCAGGCACAGGGCGATGCTGGGAAGGACCAGCGGCCCCTCTGTGGCTTCGGCCTGGTGGGGGCCCTGGGTGTGGCTCCTGGAGCCGAGCTCCACCCACCCTGTGAGCCCCGGGCCCCGCACACCCCCCGAGGGAGAGCTCTCAGGCCGGCGCCCCGGCAGCCAGCATGCGTCCCCGCGGCACCTCCCAGCAGCTGCAGCTCCAGGGGTGCTCGGGTGGCCGTGGCCTGCCCTGGCCCAGCTCCCATCGAGGGCCGCGGGCCCCCCGAGGCCCCGGGAGGGGAGGGGCCGCTCATGGTCCTCCCAGGTCCACGCCATTGCGTCTGTCTCTCACGCCGTTCCGTAACCACGGGGGGGGGGGGGGGGTCGGGGAGGGCTCCCCTGGGGACAGGGCCGTCCACACTGCGACTTGATAATCCAGCCTCGTTGGCCAACAGCAGGGGGACCCCCAGGCGGGGGGAGGAGTGGGAGCCCGATTTGGGGAGCTTTCCCTTTAGTTTGCCACCCACTGGCCTCGGGAGCGGGCGGCTGCGGTAGCCCTGAACTCCCACCGTGGCTTTGCGGACAGACGGTGACGAGGTGCGCTGGGTCCCGGGGGGATGCCAACGTGGCCTCTCCAAAGAGGGCAGCTCGACAGGGGCCTTGCCAGTCAAATGCCAGCGCGCAGAGCCGCAGACTGCATGCTCCCCAAGAAGACCGCCGTGCCCCCCACCCCACCCCCACCCCCAAGGGGAGCGGGCTCTGCCCAGGCGCCAGGCCCACCCTCACGGGCACCAGGAGCCCTGGCTCCCAGCCCTCGGAGCCGCTGTGCCTTCGCCACGGGGCCCGGGCAGGGTGGGCGCGAGGTTGGATTAACAGTCGTGGGCCCGGGTGGGAATGCCGGGCGGGAGCGGGGGGCCACGGCAGGGGCACGGGGTCACCGAGTAAGCTTTCTTGCTTGAAATCCTCTGCTCTGCTCACCCCCTCCCCTGCTCCCGCTGTCTGCACTTCGGCCTGGAGGCAGCGAAAGCGGCCGGAGCACCCCCAGCCTCTCGGTGCTGTCCGACGGCAGGCCGCCCGCCACCTACCAGCAGGCGCCACGCCACTTCCACGTGCCAGGTAGGCCCCCCGCGGCCCACCGCGCCCAGCGGGGGCGGGACTCCTCTTGGTCCCCCCACCCCCGTCCTAAGATGCTTAAAAAATCACAAATGGGTGTGCACATCCCCACTTCCTGTCTCCAAAGGCCCACAGACACCAGGGAGATACTGCCCCCGGGGAGCGGGCTGGAGGGAAGGGCTGCCTGGGCAGGCAGGGTGCCCGCTGTGTCCCACTGGGGCTGGCACCGGGCTGGCTGAGGCTGGGTCTGAGGTGGTGGGGCCTGGGTGTCTGCCGAGGGCGGGTCCCGGATCTTTCTGGAGATCCTGAATCCGGGCGCCTGGGGATTGCTGACCAGCCATCCGTTTGCTTGCTGACCCTGCTTTCTCTTCTTTCTCTCTTTTTCCCCTTCCTTCCTTTCTTCCTTCCTCCCTTCCTTCCTCCCTCACGCCTTCCTTCGCCCAGACACCGGCGTCAAAGATAACATCTACCGGAAGCCCCCCATCTACAAGCAGCACGGTACCGTGCCTCCTGCCCCGTGGCCCCGCATGCCCACCCCGCTCTCTGGGTCCCTGCTCGGTTGTGTGGATGCCTGATGCCCCCCCGCTCCCCGCCGAGGCCCTGCGGCCTGAAGAGTAAATGCACTGCAGGCCCAGAGCAGGGCCTCTGCATGAGCTGGACACGCTCACGGCCAGGCTGGGTGGGGTGGGGGCTTGGGGGGCATTGTGCCAAGAACTGGCCCCGGTGGCTGGAGTTGGCTACTTGGAGGGAAGCAGCCAGGCTGACCGCGGCCGAGGGGGTGAGGGGCAGGTGTCCCGGGCTGCAGTCCGAGCCAGCCCGTCAGCGGGAAACAGGAAAACCGAGCTGGTCAGTCCTCCCCGTGTGGGAGTGAGGCCTGGCGCGGTGAGAATCACTGGCAAGAGAATGGACGCCGGGCCTCCCGTGAGGGGCTTCCTGCCTCAGCAGACAGGGGCTGCGGTGCTTATGGAGAGAGGGTCCCCCCGCCGCTCCACCGGGCCTGTGGGCAGGTGCACAGGCGCAGCCGCTGGGCCAGGGCAGGGAGGCGGGAGGCCAGAGGCTCACGGGGTCCCCTCTGTCTGCACGGAACTTCTGGGTGATTTGGGGCATCACACCGTGAGCCTGTCCTCATCTGCAAAGTGGAAGGGGCCCCCACGCTGCCCTCCACGGGCCGAGGTGAACACCGGTGCTGTACGGGTGGGAAACACGTCCTGAACCCTGAGGCGCTGGGTGGGAGGTGGGTGTTACCACGTTGCTAGGGAGACGGGCAGATGTCCACACTGGAGATCCTTGCTCGGATGCAGACAGCAAACAGCCATGTCCACACGGACACCTGGCTGGACCCTCCCAGGGGGGTGGCACCCGTGTGCCCAATGGCTCGCTGGCAGTCAGGTCCGGGTGCAGACTCGGGCGGCTTGCTGTCCTCGGCGGGCGGCGCCTGGTACGGGTGGGTCTCTGCCTCTTCCCGAGAAGGAAATGAGGAGGGACAGCCTGGTTTCCAAGGCGATGACCTTTCCCGCTGCCTCCCAACCAAGGCCCAGATCTCCCCGAGGGTCAGGCGGGGACACGGAGGCCCCGCTGAAGGAAGCATGTCCCTCAGTCATGCCCCCGAGGTCCCGTCCTGCACGCAGGCCGTGCTCAGCTGCCGTGTCGGCCTCACAGGCGGCCTGTGCGCAGGAGGAGGGGAGAAGCAGTCAGTGCGGCCACCACCTGGCTGTGGAGGGTGGCCTGGCCAGACCTCAGACAGAGCTGCGACGGCGGGGTCAGAGGGGGTCAGCAGGGACCTTCTGGGGTCACTGTTCCCCCCGGAAATAAATGCCCCTCCGTCCGATGGCCAGGCGCTCCAATGTGACCTGGTTGTTTGGCACATCCCAGAATCGGGGCCTGCTGGCGCTTCCGTGAACTGATCAGCGTACAGCGCCTTCTCAGACGCACACGGGCCGGCACGGGGTTGCTGCAGACTGACCTCACCGGCGTGCCCCGCTGAGCCCGTGTCCGGGGGCGGGGAGGGGAGGGGAGGGGAGGGGCAGTGGCCTGCCGTTGAGCGCCAACCGTGGCAGGTGTGTGACTGAGACACGGCTTCCCCACCCGCCGGCATGCGCCCTGCCAGAGGTGTGTGTGAGCATGCAAGCATGTGTGTGACACCATGCATGAGGCATGTAACACCCCCGCCCCCAGTCTCAGCAAACAGACCAGCCAGCGCCTGTGGGGGGCGGAGGAGCACAACGCGGGCGGGCGAAGCCACGAGCTCCTGAGACAAACGCGGGGACCACGTGTGGCGGCCGTTCAGTTCGTCCGACGTGGTCTCTGCGAGCTCGAGGCTTAGCTTTTCCATCGACGTCCTTTCCGCTTCCATGTCCCGCTCACACACTGTCTGCCGGGCTCCAGCCTTCCTCCTCCGGCCAGCGGCGGCCAGGCCCCTCGGCGAGGGGACGGAGGGGGGGACGAGAGGACCAGCGCTCTCAGGCCGCCACTGGGAGCGTCAGGGCTCGTTTCCTCCTGACACTGAGGTCGGGTGTGAAGTGACGGGCCCGTGGCCAAGCTGAGGTCCACACCCAGGCTGCCTGCCCCCTGACCTCTGACCCCCCGCCTGCTAGGCCGCCTTGGACGGCAGGGAGGCCCCTCAGTGGTTTGTGCCGCAGCAGCTCCCACTCTGCTCGGCTACGAGGGAACGGCTTTTTTAAAGTGAAAGAATAAGGAAGCGAAGAGAGGAGGCAAAAGGAAACAAATGGGGCATTTTAAACGGGGGGCCCCGGCCCCTGTGCGGGCAGCAGCGGATCAGCAGGAGTGCCGGCTGTGGGGCAGCTGGCGGCAGCACAGCCAGGCCTCCCAGCGGGGCACAGGCCGCCCAGAGCCCAGAGCTCAGAGCTGAGGTGCCACGGGGCATTCTGATGGCCCTGAACGCCAGCCCCTGGCAGAGCACAGCCCGGCATCGGGCCCACCCCTCAGAGGCCTCCTCCCTCGCTTTCCAGCCCGCGCAGGTTCAAGTGCGGCTGCGTGAACCTTGGCAGAGAGCAGGGCTACTTCACCCCCCTGGCCTCGGCGGTGAAGACTGGCGTGCAGGGGCACAGGCACCCAGAGCTCCTGCCCAGCCCCTCCACCCCGCTGGCGCCTCCGCCCTTCAGAAGCCCCCACTGGGGCCTCGTCTTTGATTATTTCCCATTTTTAAAAATATATCTTTATTGATCTCAGAGAAGAAGGGAGAGGGAGAGAGAAACATCAGTGAGAGAGAATCATGGATCGGCTGCCTCCTGCACTGGGGATCGAGCCCACAACCTGGGCCTGGGCACTGACCGGGAATCGAACCGGGACCTCCTGGTTCATAGGTCAATGCTCAACCCCTGAGCCCCGCTGGCGGCATGGCTGTTCCCAGGGTTTGAGCCTAACTGGGCGTGGGTCCCCGGATGGGCGGTGTGTTCCTGACGGGCGGCTTTCCCTCCAGCCTCGAGGCGCCTGGACGGGGAGGACGGCGGTTCCGACCAGGACGGCAGGAAGGTAAGGCGGCCACTGGTCCGAGCGGCTTGTGCAGGGGAGATCGGGCCTGGGGGCACGTCCAGCCTGCCGCCTCGGTCCTCCTCCTCCATGCTCCTGGGAGGTCCCTCTCGGCCCGTGGAACAGGCACCGGATGCAAGAGCAGAGGGGAGGAGGGTCCTCCTGCAGCCTCCTCTGATCTCGGGGCCCGCCCGGCCCTCCCGGTCCCCCCTGCGCCCACCGGCCTGCTCACGGCTCAGTGACTGGCCGGTGTCTGAAAGGAGAGGAGAGAGAGCCGCAGGGCGCTCTCGGGCACCGGGGAGGATTGTTCTAGAACGGGCATGGCAGGCGTTTTCAGTAAGAGGCCAGAGGAGACACCTCGGGCTTGGGGACCATGCCAGCCCGAGGCGATGTACCAGGATGGGGGCGAGGGGGCAGAGGGCAGGGGAGGGCTGTGTCCCCACAAGCTTCCATCGCCAGCAGCCTGCGGGGGGCGTGGCCTTCAGGCCCGGGAGCTGCAGCCCCTCCTGTTCCTAAGGAGGAGGTGTGTGTGGGAAGAGCCCAGGCTGGCTCCCCTGTGTGCAGCCATTTGGGCCTGGGCCTCCCTGGGCCTCGGTCTCCTCATCTGTCCCGTGGGCGGGCCGTTTCATTTGACCTGGACACTCACGCGACCGTGTTCTCTCACAGAAGGGCAGCTGGCTGATCCTCCAGGGGGACACGGACACCAGGACCGACTCGCCCGACAGCCAGGCTCTGTCCCACAGCAGCGGGGCCGACCGAGACCCGCTCCCCACGGGCCCGGGAGCCGGCTTCTACTCACGTGAGTGGTTCTTCTGAGCCTGGAGCCGTCATGTGACCCGAGACACCCCGTCGCAGGGCCCAGCACCCCGGGCCGCTACCCGGGTGGAAGCCTCGGCGTTAGAGATGGGCAGGAGGAGCCCGCAGGCCTGAGGGGCGGGCGGAGGTGGCCCTCCTGCTCACTCTTCCCTCGAGGGCCAGAGCCGCAGGCAGGCAGAGAGCCGGGCAGGGAGGCCCCAGGCTGCTGGCTGGACATGGCCCGTTTCCCTCCGGAGCAGACGCACGCACAGTCCAGGCAGCGGGTCCAGACTCGGAGCCGATGGCGGCAGGACCACGCCTGTCCTGAGCCAGGGACTGGCGCTGGGACTTGGGATCCCCAGGGGGCTGGGCGACAAGGTGACGTCAAAGCCTGAGCTGGGAGCCGTCTGAGATGCAGGACAGCCTCGGGGGCCCTGCTCCCAGGCTGTGCACTGTGGAGCCGGGCTCTAGGGTCCCGAGGTGGATGTGGTTTTCTGGGGCCAGCTTGAGGCTTAGCGGGGAGAAGAGGCTGAACAGGGACAGGTGTGGGCCCGAGAACATGGAGGAAAGGTGCCTGAGACAGTCTTGGGTTTAAGTCCCCACTCGCCATGACCGGCCTCGTGGCATGGCGTGGCGTGGCATGGCGTTTCGCTTGCCGCTGGGCGTCAGTCCCGCTGTGTGCCTGGCCGGTGTCTGAGCCCTGAGGAGGGGTACGTGTGCACAGCCGGGCGCATAGTAGGTGCTCAGGAAACAGACCGTTCTGATCCTCCCCCTCATCCTCGTGCTGGAGAGTGGTCCCGGTCGTTGTTAAAGAAAAACTCAAACGAAGGAAGGTCGTTGTTTGTGTATGGATTTGTAAGCGGGAGTCTTAGCACCCACACTCTGTCCCTCCTGGGGCGCAGCCCGTGCACACGCTGCTGTCAGCACGGGAAGGTGACCCCAGACGCCCCGGAGGGGCTTGTCCCGGAGCCGGTCTGAAGGGGTACGGCAGCTGCCCGTCCCCCCAGCAGGCAGGTTGCGTGGTACAAGGCTGGTCACAGAGCCACGGGCACACTCCTGACCAGGCGGCAGCCATCATCCTCCAGCTCCTCCTGCTCCGGCGCTGTCAGCGAGAAGCCCACTGGGCAGCGTGACAGACCACTGACCCCGCTCCTCGGCAGGGGGCTCCCTCTGAGAGGCTCCCTCTGCCCGGTCATGGCGGACAGCTGGTGTCTGCCTTCGGGCTGGAGGCACGGCCCACATGGACGCTCCATCCAGAGAACGGCGGTGTGAGTGTGTGTGAGTGTGTGTGTGTGTGTGTGTGTGAGTGTGTGTGTGAGTGTGTGTGAGTGTGTGTGTGTGTGTGTGTGTGAGTGTGTGTGTGAGTGTGTGTGTGAGTGTGTGTGTGAGTGTGTGTGAGTGTGTGTGAGTGAGTGTGTGTGAGTGTGAGTGTGTGTGTGAGAGTGTGTGTGTGAGTGTGTGAGTGTGTGTGTGTGTGAGTGTGTGTGAGTGTGTGTGTGTGTGTGTGTGAGTGTGTGTGTGAGTGTGTGTGAGTGTGTGTGAGTGAGTGTGTGTGAGTGTGAGTGTGTGTGTGAGTGTGTGTGTGTGAGTGTGAGTGTGTGTGTGAGTGTGTGTGTGTGTATGAGTTTGTGTGTGAGTGTGTGTGTGTGAGTGTGTGTGTATGAGTATATGAGTGTGTGTGAGTGAGTGTGTGTGTGTGAGTGTGTTTGTGTATGAGTGTGTGAGTGTGTGTGTGAGTGTGTGTAAATGTGAGTGTATATGTGTGCGTGAGTGTGTGTGTGAGTGTGAGTGTGTATGTGTGTGAGTGTGTGTGTGTAAGAGTGTGTGTGAGTGTGTGTATGAGTGTGAGTGTGTGTGAGTATGTGAGTGTGTGTGTGTGAGTGTGTGTGTGAGTGTGTGTGTGAGTATGTGAGTGTGTGTGTGTGAGTGTGTGTGTATGTGTGTGTATGTGTGTGTATGTGAGTGTGTGTGAGTGTGTGTGTGAGTGTGTGTGTGTGTGAGTGTGTGTGTGAGTGTTTGTGTGAGTGTGTGTGTGAGTGTGTGTGTGTGTGAGTGTGTGTGTGAGTGTGTGTGTGTGAGTGTGTGTGTGAGTGTGTGTGTGAGTGTGTGTGTGAGTGTGTGTGTGTGAGTGTGTGTGTGTGAGTGTGTGTGTGTGTGTATGTGAGTGTGTGTGAGTTTGTGTGTGTGAGTTTGTGTGTGAGTGTGTGTGAATGTGAGTGTGTATGTGTGTGTATGTGTGAATGTGTTTGAGTGTGTGTGAATGTGAGTGTGTATGTGTGTGTGTATGTGTGAATGTGTGTGAGTGTGTGTGAATGTGAGTGTGTGTGTGTGTGTTATGAGTGTGTGAGTGTGTGTGTGTATGAATGTGTGAGTGTGTGTGAGTGTGTGTGTATGTGTGAGTGTGTGTGAGTGTGTGTGTGAGAGGGTGTGTGTGAGTGTGTGTGTGAGAGGGTGTGTGTGAGTGTGAGTGTGTGTTGTATGTGAGTGTGTGTGTATGAGTATTGTGAGTGTGTGTGTATGTGAGTGGGGTGTTTGTGTGTGTGTGTGTGTGAGTGGTGTGTGTGTGAGTCTGTATATGTGTGTGTGTTTGTGTGAGTGTGTGTGTGAGTATGTGAGTGTGTGTGTGTGAGTGTGTGTGTATGTGTGTGTGAGTGTGTGTGTATGTGTGAGTGTATGTGTATGTGTGAGTGTGTGTGAGTGGTGTGTGTGTGTGTGAGTGTGTGTGTGAGAGGGTGTGTGTGAGTGTGTGTGTGAGTGTGAGTGTGTGTTGTATGTGAGTGTGTGTGTATGAGTATGTGTGAGTGTGTGTGTATGTGAGTGGGATGTGTATGTGTGTGTGTGTGAGTGATGTGTGTGTGAGTCTGTATATGTGTGTGTGTTTGTGTGAGTGTGTGAGTGTGTGTGTGAATATGTGTATGTGTGAGTGTGTGTGAGTGGTGTGTGTGTGTGTGTGTGTGTGTGAGTGAGTGTGTGAGTGTGTGTGTGTGAGTGTGTGTGTGTGAGTGTGTGTGTATGTGTGTGTGAGTGTGTGTGTGAGTGTGTGTGTGTGAGTGTGTGAGTGTGTGTGAGTGTGTGAGTGTGTGTGTATGTGAGTGTGTGAGTGTGTGTGTATGTGTGTATGTGAGTGGTGTGTGTGTGTGTGTGTGTGTGTCCGCCACGCTGACACTCCCTATGGTGATGGTGACATTTTGTCCTCCGCTCGCCTCCGCTGGCGCTCTGACTGAGTGGAGACCACGGTGCCAGCCTTGCTGCTGTGACCTCACCTCGGTGCTGGTGCCCTGCCTGGCCTCCTGCGTGCAGGAAGGGAGCAGCGAGGGCCCGGCTGCTGGCCGCCTCCACCGCCGCACCTTGCTCCCTGCCAGCCTCCGGAGAAATGTGGGCAGACAGGCATAGCGGGTTCTCCACCTCTTCTCGGGGTTCCTGTGAGCCCCCGAATGTGAGTTCATCACTCGTTCATTGGCGAACCGCTGTTACTAAGCAGAGCGTTTGCCCAGGGCAGGGACGCCCGCCCGCACGGGTCCCTTCCACCACCGCGCCAGGGGGGGCAGGGCTGTGACACCCCGCACAGCGGGTGCCCAATAAACGTTGGTGGAATTGAGACGCATTACATTCAACGGGTATTTACTGAGCGCATCCCACTGCCACATCCCACTGTGACACCATCACGCCTCCCTGGGGTGAGTCCTCATCAGCCATTCACCCGTCTGTCCCCACACACTTACTGAGCGCCTACTGTGTGCGGGGCCTGGTGCTGGCAGCCCAGAGGAGGCGGTGAGCATGGCCCGGTCCCCACCCCCGCCAGCGAGAGCCCATTGGGCAGCGGTGACACCAGAGTGACCCCCGCAGAGAGGGTCCTGCTGCCCGTTCATGATGGACAGCTGGCATCTGCCTTCTTGCCTGGCACACAGGTGCTTGGGGCTGCGTGGCACAGGCTGTATCTGTGAGCTGGGTGCTGCAGGGGAAGGGTGGCCCTGATGTTTTGTTATTATCTTGTGAGAGGAGACCCGTGGCCCCCAGGGAGCTGAGGGGATGGGCCCCCTCTGGCCTGGACCCTATGGATGGGCCTGCGCTGCTCGGGGTCCCACCTTCCTAACCCTTCAGGCCCTTCCCCTCTCTTGAGGTTCTCACGCCCCGCTCTGGGTGGTGAGGCTGTAGGCTGCTGGGGCAAGGGGAAGGGATTGGGGAGCCCTGGACGGTCTGAATGGCGGTGAGGAGGATGGGGGCGGGGGAAGGATGAGGCGGGCTTGCTCTGGCTCGCGCTGGCGGAGGCACCTTTGTGCAGAGGGCCAGCAAGGTGGGCTCTTCCTGCTGTGGCACCTGCCAGGGGTGGGCCGGGAGCTCAAAGGAGGCCTGGCCTGGGGATGGAGTCCCACATTGGCCTGGTTCATGGCCGTGGGCGGCCCAAGTCCCTGGACGTTCCTGTCCAGTGCTGGATAAAACGTGTTCTGAGCTCATGTTACTTTCTCAGCAGGGCCCACAGTCCAGCTAAGGTCCTTCTCCTGAGTCAGCCCAGCTACTCCTGTCCCCATCTTGCTCCAACCCAGCTACTCCCAGGCCCCTCCCATCCCCCTCTCTACAGAACCAGGAGGAAGGAGAGAGGTGGCCGGGGCAGGGCACCAGGGATGGATGCGCCATAAAAGTGGAGTGGGCCCAGAAAGCTGGAAGGGGCAGCCAGCAGCTGTCAGCCAGAAGGGCAGGGAAGGAAAGGCCGGGGGGAGCTGGAGGGCTTGGGTCCAGCAGCCCCAGTGTCCGGCGGGGGCCAGGAGGTCACTCCTGGAGAGAGACTTGGCTGGGGTTTTGTGCGAGGCCTTGACCTCCAGCTGGACGGACCGGGGACCCTGGCCCCTCCCTGTGTTTGGCCCCCAGGGTGGTGGGAGCCCCAGACGTCAGGGAGAAACCCTTGGCCCCGGAAGAGCCACTGCAGGCCCCTCCCTGGGAGAGACCACTCCAAGCCCAGGAGCCGCTGCCACTCACGGGGTTGGCTTGGGCCCTACTTTTAGCAACAACCCCCGTGCCCCCTGTGCCCAGCAGGCTTGCCCACCGACCCGCGTGCTAACCCAGTGGTTGGCAAACTCATTAGTCTACAGAGCCAAACACCAACAGCACAACGATTGACATTTCCTTGGAGAGCCGCATGTTTTAAACTTAAGCGTCTTCTAACGCCACTTCTTCAACATAGACTCGCCCAGGCCGTGGTATTTTGTGGAAGAGCCACACTCAAGGGGCCAGAGAGCCGCATGTGGCTCTGGAGCCATGGTTTGCCGACCACTGGGCTAGACAGTGTGTGGCCTCTGGTGCTGTCGGCGGGGCACAGCCATCAGCCGGGCACAGGTCCCTCGGGAGCTCACAGTGAGGAGCCCATGTCTGGAGTCACACCTCTCAGGTCTCCTCTGTCCACCCCAACTCTGCCACGGCTCTTGAGACCCTCCCCCAGGAACCCTTCTGGCCTGCCAGCTTCCATTCATTCAGCCATTCATCCGTCTGTCCCCAAACACAACTGTGTGCTGGGCCTGGTGCTCGGCAGCCAGAGGAGGCGGTGAGCATGGCCCGGTCCCCACCCCCACCAGCGAGAAGCCCATCAGGCAGCGGTGACAGACCAGAGCGACCCCCGCTCCTCAGCCATAAGACATCCCCCCGCAGAGGCTCCTGCTGCCCGTCCATGATGGACAGCTGGCATCTGCCTTCTTGCCTGGCACACGGGTGCTCGGGGCTGCGTGGCACAGGCTGTATCGGTGAGCTGGGTGCTGCAGGGAAAGGGGTGGCACCTTCTCCCATTGGTGGGACCCAGCACTGCTCTGTGGGTGCAGGGTGAGGGAATGGGGGGGCAGAGGAAGGGAGAGGGGCCTCAGCTAACACAAGGCAGCAATGGTGTCTACGAGATCACGTGAGGGCCAGGGGAATCCACAAAATCGGGGTGTCAGTCCAGTGGGGGTTGAGCTTGTCCCTTGCCATGTGACCTTGGACGTGAGGGCGAACATCTCTGTGTTTGAAATCACCTCGTCTGTAAAGGGGGGTGGTCCAGCCCTCTGGCAGGAAGCAGCTGGGCTTCAGGGCTCCGAGGTGGGCACCCCAGCGTCCTCCGTGCTGGGCCCTGTGGGCTGTCATGGCAGAGTGGGGTCAAGATGACAAGCCTGGCCCTGGCGATCCCTCCGCGGCCCCCCGGCTTGCTTCTGAAGCCGGAAGCTCAGACCTACCAAGGGGCCTCCTGTCCAAAGTCACTCAGGGCTAAAGGGGCTCCAGGTCCCTCCTTCCTCAGACGGGGACCCAGAGGCGCAGAGAGGAGACCCACGCCCGTACAGAGCCACGCAGCTGCACTTACCCACACGTCCTTGAACAGAAAACCACTCCTGGGTCTGTTGAAACTGACGGCGACCTGCTGGCCAGCCAGCCACGAGCACCCCAGGAGAGGCCACTTTAATGGGTGCAGAGGGCAGCCTCGGGGGGTGACAGTGGAGACCCCTCTCTCCTGCCTCTCCCCCATGAAGTGCAATGGGAAAATCCAGAAACAATGCAGCAGACAGCCACAGAGCTCTGCAGGAGGGATGGGGAAGGTGGACTGGCTCGGGGACTGAGAAACACAGGACTCCATGGGTCACGGCCCACGCAGTGGCATATGGTGACCAGGTGGGTGTTTCCCTCCACCAGCCACATCCACCAATCCACCTGGAGAGTGGGCCCAGGGGAACACGCTCCATCCACTGCCGCTGTCTCCAACCCCACCTCGGGGCACAGAGCATCCCGGGAAGTACAGCTCACTCCCACACCAGGTGGGCTCAGGAGAACACTTGGACAAGCATTCTGAAGACTAAATTGTCATTAGAACCACAGCCCATAATAAGCCAGGCCCTACATAGAAAACCTAAACAGGGTGGCAGCCTGCTCAATAGGAGACTCAGCTAGAACCCAGAGTCTCCCAGATGTCCAGGAATAAGAGAGAATTGGTCTTCACACTGAGAACCGTGAAGATAACTATTTGAATGAGAAAAGACAGCAGATGCAGCAGCACCAAGAAGAATCAAATGGTTGGAGGTCCCCGACAAGGATCTTCAAGGCAACCATCACCAACATGCTTCACCAAATAATTGTAAATACTTTTGAAACAACTGGGGAGGGAAAAAAAGAAGAAAATATCACCAAAGAAATAGAAAACATAACCAAATGGAAGTTATAGGCCTGAAAAAGAAAATAACCAAAATGAAAGTTTTTCTGGGTGGGCTCAATAACAGAATAGAGAGGATGATGACAGAGGAGAGAATCAGAGAATCTGAACAACAGAGAGAAAAGAGCCTCCATCTGTGGGACAATCATTGTATCATGAGAGTCCCAGAAGAAGAGAGGTGAGTGGGCATGAGAAAGTATTCAGGGAAATAATGGCTCAAAACTGACCAAATTTGACACAACCCATAAACTCACAAGTCCAAGAATAGGTGAACCTCAAACAGGATAAACCAAACGTAACCTACTCCAAAAACACTTCGTAACTAAACTTCAGGAAGCTAAAGATAGAGGGGGAAATTCTCCAGAGCAGAATAAGACAGATTTTCTATAGGGGAGCACCAGTCCCCCGGACAGCCGATCTCTCGCCAGAAACGATGGAGGTGAGCGGGAAGTGGCACCGTGTTTTTCAGGTGCTGGCAGACAATTGCTGTGGATGTAAATTCTGATTGGCTGAAAGTATCCTTCAGGCACGACTGGCAATAGATATTCTCAGACAAAGGAGGCCTTGCTGTGCAGGCCTGGGGCTGGGTGACCTGGGACAGGTCCCTCTGCGTCTGCCCCTCCATTTGCCCTCTGTGAAATGGGAGGAGCCGGCCAAGTCATTTTTCTGGAGCAGCCGTGGAAGAGGCCAGGAGGAGGGAGGGGCAGCCCAGGCCCCTCTCCCACTCTGCCTCCAGCCCGACTCCCACCTGTTGTGTGTGTCAGAGCTCACGTAAGATTTCAGGTGACAAGAGGGTTCCTCTGCTAGAAGGAGTTTGGGAACTCTGACCTAGATGTTGCAAAAGGCCCTTCCTGACCTGCACCGGAACCTTCCGAAGGCCAGGGGGCCAGCAAGTCCCCGAGGCAGGACCCTGGTGGAGGCAGTTCCCCAGATGCGGCCTGTACAGGGCTTTCCTGTCCTCCCTGAGTTCTCCAGGAACCCTCGTGAGGAAGGTCACCTGTGCCGAAGGGGTGGGTGGGCCGGCCCTTGCGCGGCACCCGCCTTCTGAACACCCAGGGGCGGGACCCGCATCCCCTCTGAGCCTCATGGGCAGCCCGGCGGCTCCTGAGGCGGGCGCTGGCCTTTGGCCCTGAGCACCTGGGTGCCGGCCAGGACGGGGGCACAGACCCCAGATCAGCAGACGTGGGCTCTGTCCGTGGGGCCCGCAGGCTATGGGAGGACTGACAGCTTGGGACAGGCCACCTGAGGTGCTTCCGGGTGGGACCTGCCTCTCCAGGGAGCCGGGAGGCACACCTCGCTCATGTCTGCGCCAGGCGGGCCCTGCGGCACCCGCTCCGCTCTGCAGTCTCGGCGAGGCGGGTCAGTGTGAGTCCCAGGTGGCCAGGCGGCGGTGCGGGCCTCAGGTGGGCCTGCCATGGGCTCCCACAGGAGGCAGGGCCGTGCCTCAGGAGTTGAGGGTTTATTTTTAGTAAAATGGTCTGTGGTTGGTGGTGGCCTCCATGCCCTCCGGCTCCAGGTGGCACAGCCTTTCCCCCATCCCCCCATCCCGTGGTCAGGAGACACAGCGCCTGCGTGGGCAGGATCAGGTCCGAGGTGCCCCCGGTGCCCTGGGCAGCCCCCCTCCCTGGCTTCTCTCAGTCCCTGGGGACAGAGGTCAGGACAGAGGCAGGGCCTGGCCCTCGAGCCCTCCGGCGCCCCCCCGCCGGCCCGCACCCTGGCCTGCCCACGGGGCCGCGCCTGCCGTGTGCGTGACGCTGTGCTGTGTCTGTTGCAGGGTTCCCCTATTCCAAATCTGACCCTCTCCCCGGACACGGAAAGAATGGCCTGGACCACCGGGTAGGTATCCCGTCCCCGGCCCACGGTGTACTAACCTCGCTGTGCAGGTTAAATACTCACAAGCCTAAACCCACGAGCCGATAGCATGCAGGGCCATTGGCTGTGGTGGCGGCAAGCCTGGCGGGCGATGTGACAGCAGATCTGGTGAAAGTGATAAAAAGCACACGGAGCAATAGAAGCATGCGGACGGCAACCCACACACACACACACACACACACACACACACACACACACACACACAAGGCACGTGAGAACCGTGGCTGACTTTCCAAGCAACTTTCACATGTCCGTCCACGTGCGACCAGGAGAGCACCTTACCCCGTTAAGGAAGGCCCCTGTTTTCCGGCTGGAAAGCTGGACAGAGCACGGCCATCAGCACCAGACACCCCGCGTTCTGTCGGGGGGCAGGGGGTGCCTGGGCAAGGGATGTCCATTTCTGGGTCTTCCCAAATGTGTCCTCACTCTCAGACCGTGTGCGGACACGGTGGCTGTAAACGCCCACCCGCTCTGCAGCCCGGTCCCCACACGAGGAAGAGTTACCGAAGCACGTTCCTGCCCTCCCTGCTTCACGTGGCCGTGGGGCAGAGTGGCAGATCCCACGTGACTGGGAGGAAAAGTGCCGGCCGGTGTGAATGGCCGCCGTTTGGCTCCTTCTATTAGCAATTCCTGAAAAGTACAACTCACGAGCGAAACCTTTTGCAGCACCGTGCATGTGCTGTGTGATCCTGGGCCAGGTGCTTGCCCTCTCTGAGCCTTGTCCACAGAATGGGGATGCTGTGCCCACCTCCTGGGACGGCCATGGAGATCAGTGACCGTGGCTGTAAGAGCAGCTGGCACAGACTCCCGCCAGGCGAGGGGGAGAGGTCAGCGCTTTGTGGCTTTTCCCTCCTGTGACCCTCTGCTGAGAGCCGCGGGGAGCCCACCAGGTGCAGCCCTGTGGGATCACCCCCCTGGCCACGCCGCTCTCCGGCCAGCACACATGGGGCCACAGCCCAAGGCTCCCTCGCACCGGAGAGGCCAGGAAGACCCCAGGCCCAGCGGGCAGCCCGGGCTGACCCTCCGCTCCCCTCTGCCCCCGGGCGGTGCCCGCCCTCCCTCCCGGGAGGCTCTGTCTGGCCTCAGGGCCTGAGAGAGCGGAGGAAGCTGGCTGTGGCCCTAGGAAGGGTTCCCGCTGCCCACGGTGGCCCTTGCAGCCAGCCTGGATGTCCTGTGATGCAGGACAGCGGGCACTAGAGGGCGGCCTTTCCCGTCTGTGTCCCAGAGGGGAGGAGGCCAGTGGCTGGTGGCTGGTGGGCGTGCCCTGTGCCCTGCTTTGTCCCAGGCGGAGGCTCCCTAACCAACGGGTGCACATGGAGTGCTTGTCAGGGTCCTGAGAAAATGTCTCCAAAACTGGTTCTTGCAACTCAGGGGACGCGCTCTGTCCCGGAGTCCGCCCCGGGCGGGGTGCTGAGCCTCCGGCGGCTCCAGGCCAGAGGAGGTCGGTCATCGAGGCACTTACCAAAGGACTCCGTAATCGAGACCAATGCGTTTTAACCCAACCGTTTCAGAAATCCAGATTCAAGCAGACAAGCCCACGTGAACCAAATGTCAAATGTTTACAGTACTGGCTCTGGCCCTGTGCTCAACGTGCCTCATTTTCCCCCCTGGGGTGAAGGGCTTCGACCTGGCTGCCCTCTGAGGCCTTTGTGCCTCTCGCCAGGCGGTGGGCCTGACTCCCTAACCCCCCACCCCCGCTGTGAGGTAGGGCTGGAAGCCCATGGCCACCCTGGCCACGGTGGGTCCCTCTCCTGTGAACTTGAAGCCAGTTGTGAGGTGCTGTGCCAGGGCGGTGGGGAACCCCACGGGCTCGGTGACCATGGAGGAACCTTCCAGGTCTGCAGGGTTGCTGCTGCGGGTGGGCAGGAGGGAGAGGATCCCAGACGTTCGAGGGCAGGAGGCAGTGAGATGGCAGAGCGGGGGCAGCTGAGGGGGGCAGCTGAGACGGCGGGGGGCGGGGGGGAGTGCTCTCCCATGCTGGGCTCTGTCCCAGCGGCTATGCAGACACCGGCCCCTGAGCCCAGGATGGCAGGGCCGGAGGGGGCTCGGGCCCTGGAAACGCTTCCACGCTGAGCCACCCCCGGGGCGTGCCCACTCAGGCTCCGGGGTGACCTTACAGGTGGTCCCCCAGGAGCTGCCTGGACCTGGACAGGCAGGGTGGGCGCAGGCCGGGAGGCCACAGCGGCTGGAGCAGAGCTGCCAGCCGAGGGCAGCACCCCAGGGAGTGGGGGCACCCATTGCAGCTTCTGCCCCACTTTGCCCCATCCCAGCCCAGGCCTGGCCTGCCTCCTGCTGCCTCTCTCTTTCTCTTCCAGAACGCCAATCTGGCGCCCTGTGGAGCAGACCCGGATGCCAGCTGGGGCACGCGAGGTACACGGAGCGGGGACCTTCGGTCTCTGGCTGGGGCAGGGGCACTAACACGGTCCCACAGACTTTGTCCTAAAACCACCCCCCACCGCCACCCCCGCTCGCTGCGCCTCCCCTCGGGGGTCAGCTCACTCCGGCCTCACGTTGCTGAGGTGCTCCCACTCTCCCGCAGCCCCCCGCTGGCCTGTCTGTCTCTGGTCCCGGGGGAGAGGGCCCGCTGTGGGAACGCTGTCCGTGTCAGAGCACAGGCCGCCCTGCCTCCAGGGAGCCAGTCACAGGGGGAGGCCCCCGGACGGGCTGGGCCACCACCCCCTCGCTCGCCTGGGCACTTCAGGGGGCGGGCTGCCTGCCGGAGGTTGGCAGGGACCTAGTCATGTGGCAAGTGCCAGTCGGAGGCTCTGCCCGCTGGGAGCCGGCCTTAAGCCTGCACGGGCCGGGCAATGCTCCCTCGCCCTGTCACCCGAGTGCAATGGTGCAGGGGGGGGGGGGGGGGCTCACTCTCACGGGCGGGGCTGCGCTGCAGCGTGGAGGTTGGGGTTCGAAGCTGCTCCCTCCCTCCACGTGGCTCTCCAGGTCCCGGGCTCCCAGCTGGCATGTCTGGAATCTCACGTGTCGCGTTGAAAAATTCAGGGACCGGCCCCTCGCCTGGGCCCCTGCCAGGGACTCTCCCGAGACAGGCCTGTGGCCGGGGTCCCAGGGTCTGCTCTGTGGGTGCTGGGGCTCACCAGGCTCGGCCCCGCGACCTCACGGTGTAACAAGGCCCGGTCCACGGTCACCTCCCAGCACTGCGTCCCAGCTCAGGAACTCAGGGGCACGGAACGTCCAGAAGGAAGGAAGTTAGAGGCGGGGGCTGAGGCCCTGGGAGGCCCTGAGTCTCCCCAACAAAACGTCCACCAGAAGGCCCACTCCACGGGGGTAAACTGAGGCAGGCAGTGTTCTCAGCGGCTCGGCCTGGCAGGGGAGACAGTGCCGTGTCCAGCTCCCAGCCTGGCTCCAGCCTCCTGCCCGCCTCTGGCTCTTGGTTTCCCCCTGGGACGGGCAGCTCCCTCCTCCGCCCACGGCCCCAGGGCTGGCGCTGGGGGACGGCCGCACGGGCCAGCTGACTGCAGGTGGGAGGGTGGGGAGGTGGGGGGGCGGTGCTTCCACCTCTGGGATGGGCCCCTGCGCTTTCTCACCAGCCCCGTGGCCTCTGCTCCTTCTCTTACAGAATACAAGGTAAGGGCTGCCGCCTGCGCTGACCTCTGACCTCTTCCGGCCGCGCCTGCCCAGGTTAAAAGTTCCCTTTGTTGTGCTTTTCCTATGAAATGCATGTCCCAAGCAGACGCCAGTATGTACCTTCCTCCCCACCCCATCCGCCCGGCCCAGCTCCTCCCATCGTGTGCGTGCGTGTCCGCCTGAGGCTCTGCGTCCCCCCAGGTCTACCCCTATGACGCCCTCATCGTCACAAACCGAGTCCGCGTGAAGCTGCCCAGAGACGTGGACCGGACGAGACTGGAGGTGAGGGCTCGGGGCGGGCCCTCCTCTGAGGGGCTCTGAGGGGCCTCCACACTCATCGCCCAGAGTCCCCACCAGGCGGGGCGGGCAGGGGCACGGCGAGGGCGGGGTGCCCGGCACCCGCGCTGCCTCATGGCGGGAGCCGCTGTAGGTGCCCGCTGCCAACCGCGGCGGCCATGCAGGGGCCGGGCTGTGTGGGGCCGGGCAGGAAGGCTTGGAGCAGCACCTGACGCCATCACACTGCCTCTCCCCGGGGAGGGAGAGCGGGAGCCGTCCCGTCCGCAGCCTCCCGGGTCTAGCACTGACCGGGGAGCCGGTACCGTCGACCCTCAAACAGCGGTGGGGGGTGGGGGCACCGACCCCAGCACAGTCAGAATCCGAGGGTAATGGTTGACCCCCCAAAATGTAACCTCTGTGTCCAGGGGGTGGGTTCCGGGACCCCCGAAGGCACTCAAGCCCCTCCTAAAAGACGGTGCAGAACAGCCCCAGGTCAGCCCGCGGCCCCGAGGGCTCCCTGGGAGGACTGGCGTCCCTGCTGCGGGGGAATCGATCCCGGGGTGGGACCTGGGAGGCCTGGGCGGAGGGGCCGCTGGTCTAAGGGGGCCCTCAGGGCACTGGGCCCGCAGTGCTGGGCCAAGGCCCGCAGGGGGCAGCGCGGCCTGGAAACCGGGGAACACTGCTGCTTGGAGGGGCTAGCTTTGTGAGCAGCCACTGTGAGCCAGGTCCAAAGTGGCCCGGTGCAGGGCCTAAGGCCACCCTCACCGGCACCCTCACCGGCACCCTCACCGGCACCCTCCAGAGGACCCGCAGCCAGACGGTGGGCCAGGCACCGGGCTCGCCTGCTGCACCGGGGCCTCTGCAGGACCCACCCCCCTGGGTGTGAAGGGTGGGGAGACTCCCGAAAGCCCATCTGTGCCTAGGCTGAGCACACAGTGGGTGCGGGAGCATATGAGGCCTACTGTGTGTCCCGCCAGCGCCAGAACCGGCCAGACCGCCTGCCAGCGGTGACTCGGGCGGCTGCCAGGAGGGGAGTGATGGGGCCGCGGATGCTGCCGCATCCCAGGCTGAGGAGGAAGCGCTGAGCTGGGCCTCAGAGGAGGGACAGCACTGTGAGCAGCAGAGGGAGGACAGGGAGGGTCTGCCAGCCTGGGCCCGAGCTCTGGGCCCAGTCCCCAGAGCCTGGCAGGAGGCGCTGGGAAGGCAGTGTGCACAGAGCAGGCCGGAGCCCAGCGCCCCCTCTCCCTTCGGGATGCCCATCCCGTGGCCTTGAGCCGATCCCGGGCAGCCTTCGCCTGGCCTCCCTGGGACAGCCTCGCCTTCTCTGCAGGGCGCACTGTGGCTCGTCTTTGTTCATTGTGCGTTGTCCCCAGTACAAATGTCTCTGCTGTGCAGGGGCCGCTGGCCAGAGGCTCGGGGTCAGGAGCAGCGGTTCCTAGCTGGTGTGGCCGCCCCCCAGGGGTTGTGCCTGATGGGTAGTCACTCTCTCCACAGGGGAGCTCAGAGCTCTGCGAGCTGCCCCAGGCACAGCCGTGGGCGTGGGGCCTCGCTGGGCTTGCTTCTTCACCTTGGCACTGGGGTCCCTTTCAATGCCTCCCGTCCACCCCTCGCCTGCAGCACAGAATGACTGTCTCTCCCCGAAGCCTCGGTGTCGGCTCTGAAGGCTTCCGTGGTTGAGGAGGCCCTTTCCCTGCTCACCACCACACTATGGAAGGGCTTCTTTTTTATTATTATTGCTAGTGGCCCGGTGCACAAAATGTGTGCACATGAAAAGGGGATTAATTGGAGGAAATAATTTAATATTGCTATCTGCCCTTTCCTTATAATAGAAGTGTCAGAGATGAAAGAAAATTAGTAAAATGTATATGAAAACCTTCCTCCTGTCAGAGTCTGGGGCACACCACAGGACCCAGAGTCAAGTCCCCGCCCACCCACATGCGTCTCAAAATCACGTGAGACCCAGACCCAGCCAGCCTCCGTCCCCATTGGCCTAGATCCAGACCCGGCCAGTCCCATTCTTGTCAAGCCCTGCCAGGCAGGAGACGTAGCCTCAGGGCCCCTGGCCCAGCACCAGGACTAGGGGCGTGGCCTGAGGTCCCCCCAGGGGGGGACACGGCCTGAGATGCCCTGTCAAACCCCAGGGGCGGGGGAGGGCGTAGCCTCAGGTCCCTGCTGATTGCTCGTTCAGGCTCCTTATGGGAACTTGTCCTCAGCTGTGGGTGCAGCCATTGTTGTGATGGAGTGATGGTCATTTAGCATATCCCCTCTTTATTAGATAGGATTATTTATTATTATTATTAAGACTTTTTATTGGCTTTTAGAGCGAGAAGAAGGGAGAGAGAGAGAGAGAAAAACATCTCTTAACATAAGAAACATTCAAACCTGGGGAGAAATTTTGTGGGTTTATTTGAGCCAAAATGTGAGCCGTTGCCGGGAGCAGTCTCGCTGGATTGGGACACCCTCCGGAGAATGGCCGCTTTCCACCTGTTTCCCACATTAGAGTCACAGGGCGGCGTGGGCGGGAGGGAGCAAGCCGGACGCCTCTGCGATTGGGTAAAGAGTAAATGACGGACCCGTGCCCGTCAGCAGGACAGCAGCACCAGTGAGGGATTTGTGGTCTGGGTCCCGGTGCATTGGTTGTGCCCCGAGGGATCTGGAAGAAGGGAAGTGACAGGTTACCTTGACATTCCCAAGGTGTGTTATCATAGATGCAAAAAAATAAAGTAAAATAAAGATAGGCTCAGTTAAGGTCAACGAGGATCTGTGTCTGTGAAGACACCGGCCTAGGACCGGACTGCCCACCGTAAACTGCATTAGTTAAAGCCTTCACTTCAGATCATCCGTTGTGGTGTGGCTATTTGAGGTCTCTGAGTTTGCAGATCTCCATGCAGGCCTTCCCTGAGCTGGTCAGGTCAGCATGTGGCCCCTTCTCTTTCTTTGGTTAAAAAATATTATTGATTTCAGAAAGGAAGAGAGAGAGAGAGAGAGAGAGAGAGAGAGAGAGAGAGAGAGAGAGAGAGAGAGAGAGATATCAGTGATGAGAGAGAATTGTTGATCAACTGCCTCCTGCACGCCTCCGCCCCGGGATCCAGTTCGAAACCTGGGCATGTGCCCTGACCGGGAACCGAACCAGCAACCTTTCGGTGTGTGGGATGACGCCCAGTGCACTGAGCCACATGGGCAGGGCTGGAGGTTTAGCCAGCTGGTTGCAGATGTGAGCATGTCTGTGGCAGACCTGCCCAGCAGCCCCTCGCTGGGTTGGCTGACAGCTGGGCGCCAGGGCCTGGCCAGACTCACATAACGTGCGGCCATGTGGACAGGGGGCTGTGGGAAGGCGCTGTTTGAATCCGGAGGCCCGAGCAGTATCCCTATGCGTCACTCCACTCTGTCCCCCTGGATTCAGCAGCCCAGACCTTCCTTCCGAGTGCCACAGGGCATGGCTGGGTGCAGGGCTGGAGGCGGGGCTGGGTGCAGGTCTGGGGGCAGTGCTGAGTGCAGGGCTGACAGCGGAGGGGAGGGGAGAGGCTGCTCACAGTGCTGTCCTGTGCTCTCCTGGCGGCAGACCAGGGCTGGCCTGACCCTGCAGGGGTTAGCTTGAGCCCAAGCTGAGGAATGTGCCTGAGAAAGAAGGCCGGCAGCTACAGAAGAGCCTGCTTTGTTCCAACTCACCCAACCGGTCCGATGAGACCCTGGTAGATGATGGTGACGCGCAGACAGGTCCTGAGAGATGGGCCTGAGCCAGCACGGGGGCTCTAGAGCCTGAGAGGGCTGCAGTGACGGAGGGCTGAGAGGCACAGCAGGGCTCGAGGGCCTGGTTGGCTGGGGCAATCCCCGAGGGCCCCCTGGAGGAGGGGACCTTTGCACTGGGACCTATAGGACGAGGAGGAGCCACTGTGTGGAGTGGGGGAAAGTGCATTGCAGGCCCTGGGCTGGCAAAGAGCCTGGCATGTTCCAGAAGCCATAGATGGCAGAGGGCTGGCACAGCGCCGTACACTCCCTGTGGTTGCCACTCACATTCCTTTACTGAGCGCTTGTGGGGGCCAGAGGTTAAGTCCTTCCCAGGCCGTGTGTTCGGGAAACCTTTGCCATTGGTTCCGGGTCACAAAGTTAGGTCAGAGACTCATTTCTCCGGTCACAGGGTGTCCCCCCTGCAAAGCCTTCCTGGGTCTTCCCTGGCCCCTCAGTCTGCAATGGACCTGCCTGCTTTCTGACCCTCCCCCCTCCCCCAGGTGGGAGCTCTGGGGGCAGGGCCTGGTCTGCTGAGGTCAGTGTCCTCGGACCCAGCTCCTCAGGTGAGTAAAGGAGGGAGCGGAGCAAGCGTGGGTCCCGCCCTCACATCCCTGCAGCGTGGGCCACCGCCTGCCTCTGGGCACCCCACCGGGTCCCTGGGCACAGGGCACCTGTTCCTGTCCTCCTTGGGGACCGTGGCACAGGGCACCGCTCAGCGGCTGCTGGAGGTGCTCCCGCTGTTAAGTGTTAGGAGCCTTCACGCTGGCATGACACCCAGCCGTTGCCGAGAGTAAGTTATGTAAACGTGGGTGGGGCAATTCTATTAAAGCAAAGGTGCAAATACTCCCCACGTCTCCGCCACCTCCGCCCTCCACGTGGCTGCACCGTCCTGTGTGGATGCATTACATCCTGTAACCGAGTGCCGCGGGCACCGCTCCCCGCTCTGCACCCAGGGAGCCACTGCCCGCTGACTGCTGGCCCCTGGGCTCTGGGAGTGGGGGCGGGCTGGCAGGTGAGGAGGGGCTGGCCGGCCAAGCAGAGGGAGAATGCGTCACAGACCCACCTGCTCACACCCCCTGCACAGACATCACTCCTGAGCTCCAGGCCCTCAGCAGCTGTGGGTGGAGTGAGCTTCACAGGGGATGGAGCCAGCTGTGTGGGGGCGGAGCCAGCTGCAGGGGGTGGAGCCAGCTGTGTTGGGGTGGGGCCAGCTGCAGGGGGCGGGGCCAGCTGTGTGTGTGTGTGTGGGGCCAGCTGCAGGGGGTGGGGCCAGCTGTGTGGGGGTGGGGCCAGCTGCAGGGGGCGGAGCCAGCTGCAGGGTGTAGAGCCAGATGCAAGGGGGTCGAGTGAGTTGCACAGGGGACAGAGCCAGCTGCTCAGGAGCTGAGCCAGGGTGGGAGGTCCGGAGTTGGAGGTCTTTGCAGGGCATTGGTCTGCAAACTCATTAGTCAACAGAGTGGCAAACCTCGGCTCCCGAGCCTATTGTGGCTCATGAGCCTCGGTTTGCTGACCACTGCCCTGGAAGGTGACCTGAGGGCAGACTCCCCAGCAAAGCCTGCAGGCCCTGCCCTGGGGGCTGGTGCACCCAGGAGCGGGCTGTCCCAGAAGGAGGCTGATCAGCCCTCTGCAAAGGCGCCATGCCCTGGGCTTCCTGCCTGCCGGCTCAGGAAGGCGCCCGGCTGTGCCTGGCCTCGGTGGGTACCTGGGGGTGAGAGGGTAGGGCCACCGTCCTCCTGGGAGCCTTTGGGAGCTAGGGGTCAGAGGTCATCTGTGTTCCGTCCTGTCCTGCCTGCTCCAGCGAGCACGTGGGGCGGAGACAAGAGCCCTGGATGGAGCGGGGAATGACTGCCTCGTGGCCTCGAGCGAGTTTATCTCTGCCCGTTTCCCAGCAGCCACAAGCAGGGCCCTCACCCCTCTCACCCGAAGCAGGCACTGAGCCGGTGAGGCGGACACTGGACCACAGGGCCAGAGCCGGGGCGAGCAGGTCCGGGCCAGCAGCTCCCTCCTCACTGACCCTCCCCAGCACAGCCCGCAGCCCAGCTCTGACCTTACAGACGAGGAGCCGGGACTGGGCCAGGCTGGGCCCTGCTGGCCGGGACTTGATCTTAGCCTGGAAGGCCGGGCCCTGCTGCCATGGCTGCCGGGGAGGCGCGCGCACACACAGGCTCCCGGGCCTGGGCCACGAGGCTGTTCTGGCAGGTCCCAGGGCCTCGCAGTTCTCAGATCTCACAGCACCCGGTCACTGTGACCGGCCTGCAGGGCTGCAAGCTCAGCGGGGACCCCTGCATGGCCACCTCCCTGCGGGCCCCCCTGCCTTCCCAGCTGTGGGGGGCCCCTGCAGAGGGAACCCCGTGGGGGCATGTCAGGCAGGTCAGTGAGCACCCCCATCGGCAGGGCGAGGATTGCTGAGAGGCCTGGCCCTGGCTCACCCCGCCCACCCCTGAGCGGGCGCCCAGACCGGGGCGGGGAGGGAGAGCACCCTGTCTCCGAGGCCTGGCCTCTCCTGAGCTGCCCTCCATGGCGGCTCAGGCGCCAGGACAGAGGCCTTGCTCTTGTTCAGCGTGTGAGCCGCCCCGCGGCGCCCAGGGCCGGGTCTCTGCGTGTGGACATCGGCGGGTTCCTGCTGAGCCTGAGGGAGCTGCGTCCCTTTCTCCGCCCTCTCCTGTCTCCACTGTCCCCATCTTCGGGAGACTGGATCTGGCCTGGTGACAGCCTGCGTCTGCAGTGACAGCTGCGTCTCTGTGGGCGGTGGCTGCCTCCCCACCGGGAAGCCCCAAACAGCCCCTGCCCGCAGCTCGGGAGCCGTCTTCCCACTGCTCCTTCAGTTCCCACCAGCAGCCCCCGGCCCCTCCGGGCAGAGACCGGGACTAGCCTGATGGGTGTCTCTGTGTGCATTCCTGTCTGTGTCTCTGTGTATGTCCATGTGTGTGTGTGTGTGTGTGTGTGTGTGTGTGTGCCTGTGTCTCTGTGACTGTGTGCATGTCCATGTGTGTGTGTGTCTGTGACCGTGTGTGTGTCTGTGTGTGTGTCTGTGTGTTCATGTATGTGTCTGTGACTGTATGTGTGTGTCTCTGGCTGTGTGTGTGTCTGTGACTGTGTGTGTGTCTGTATGACTGTGTGTGACTATGTGACTGTGTGTGTGTGACTGTCTGTGTCTCTGTGTGTGTGTGTGTGTGTGTGTGTGTGTGCACGCACATTGAGAACTCTGGGCCCAGATGCCATTAGGAGGGACTTTGTGACTCAGGCAGCAGAGGCTGGGGGACAGGGAGGACTCAAAGTCAGGTCCAGGCCCTGCAGGCTTGTTGCTCAGCTTCCTTGTCTGTGAAATGTCCACAATGAACCTGCCCCTCAGCTGGCACCGCGGGGACTGAGCGCCCTGAGCCTGGCCCAGCTCTTCAGGCAGGAGGGAGTCCCATCCCCGCGCTATGCCCGGGCTCCGGGGGCGCTGCGTGCTGAGCCTCTTCCCGCTGGGCTGCAGCAGAGGGAGGCTGACAGGGTGGCGGGGGCGGGACCGAGGCCCATGCGGTCCAGGTGAGCCCGGCAGCACGGGGCTGAGCACTCACGCTGCCCTGGGGCTCCTCTCTCTGCAGAGACACCTGTCGCCCGCGGAGTTCCAGGCGGTGTTCGGCATGAGCGTGGAGGAGTTCGACCGCCTGGCGCTCTGGAAGAGGAACGACCTCAAGAAGAAGGCCCTGCTGTTCTGATGGCGCCGCCCCCGCCCCCGCCCGGCCACTGGCTCCGCTCCTCTGTGCCCACGGACGGGCGGGCGGGCAGGCACCGGGGCGGGGTGGGAGCAGGTCCCACAGCGCAGCCTGGCACCTGAGACCCTCCTGCCTGTGGCCCAGGCCCTGGCGCCGGGCTGTGCACCGCCCTCCCCGGTGGTGCTGGCACCAGGAGACGCTGCAGAGCGGCTGTCCCCGGGAGGGCGGGCATGGAGACAGCACGCCCGCCTCCCAGCCCTGGGGCCACCGAGGGGACCAGGGTGGGGATCCGAGGAGGCTTGTCAGGGACAGGCCCGGACACCATCCCTGGCGGGGGCGCCGGCCTCAGTGTCCGCTGGCCCCGAGGGCACTGCTCGTGGCCTGTATCCAGGGGCCCCGGGGCGGTGCCAAGTGTGGGGTGCCGAGCGTTGGCGCTGGCTGTGGCACAGGGTCCTCCTCCAGGCCCATGTGCCCTGCTCAGCTCTCCCACGCCAGCCCCCAGATGCCCACAGGATATCCTAAAGTAACACAGAGCTTTATTTTACTAAGAAGCGCGGCCTGCGGGCCCGAGAGGACACGTATGAAGCGTGTAGTCTGCAGCCTCAGCCCTGCCCTCCGCGCTGTGTGGTCTCCGTGCTCCGTGTCCCTGGCACAGGGACTCCTGAATGTTTTCCTTTGCTTCTCTTTCTTTCGTTCCTGTCACGTGGTCCCCCGAAAGGCTGCTCCCCCCAATGCTGTGTGTAATGCGTGTGAGTCCATGTCCACGGCGATTTCCTCGTGTTTCCCTCCACGTCTGGGGTGGACCCGCCTCCCCGTGGCCAGGGCCCAGGATCGGGACTTCCGTGGACTCGGCCTGAGCTCGTGTGGCTTTCTGGTGACACGGCCAGCAGCGCCCACCTCCCCACAGCAGAACACACACACGTGGCCCCGGAGGGATGCCTCGTGGGTGGTCCTGAGAGGGACACGACCCTTGGGGCAGTCCCATCGGCGGTCAGCAGGGCCCGGGCAGAGGCCTGCGGTCCCGCTGAGAGGTGTGGCCGTCACGGGGGTGGGGGGCCCGGCCCCGGCCACCGTGTCTGTGAGTGCCTCGAGAGGCCTGCGGACACCAGCCAGGCGTCGCCCACGTCTGCCCCCAGCGTCCCGTGGAGCCCCATCCCCGTGTGTCCCGGCCGTCCCGCCCATGAGTCAGCCTCGCTCAGCTTCCTCCCGGCCCCGCACACGCCGGCCCCGCGGCGCCCGGCCCGGCCAGGGGAGGGGAAACTCCGGCACCTAACGCGCTTCCGTCCGCTCAGCGGTCAGAGCCCGGGCTGGAAACCCCCGTCTCCTCCTCCCTGCGGGGGGCGGCCGCGGGCCTGGAAATAAAGGACGCTGTGTTCTAACCTGTGAAAGTGCCACGCCGCTTCTTCGAAACTTGCACTCAGCTTGTAATTTATTTTTTTCTAAATAAAGGTCCCTGGGAGAGTCGGGGAAGGGTGTCGGGCACTAAACCACCCCCTTTCCCTTCCCGGCATCAAAGGAGGTCAGAGTTCCCACAGGAAGTGCCGGTCCCACTCAGATCACCGAAGCCTGATCTGTGCCCCATCGCGGGCACATGGCATCCTGTTCTGGGAGTTTCTGGGAGTCGGCCTGGGCACATTTTATCCCGCCCCCAGCACCGCTGCCTGAGTGCCCGCGGAGCCTGGGACAGCTTCCAGCCGATCGGGTGGCAGAGGCCATGGGCTGTCGCTCCATGGTCAGGTTCCATTACTAAGAACTCATCCCTACACACTAGACAGAGGGCTTTTCCTTACGTCCTGTGAAGCGCTCACCTCCATGCAGTGAGGAACCCCATGATTGGGGATGTGGGGCTCTGTAGCACCCGAGGACAGCCTCCGGCCCACACCCGCGGACGTGAGGTCTGGCATCAACCCGACTGAGCTTGGGAGTGGAGCTGACCCCAGCCACGGCTCCAGGTGAGGAGACGCTGCTGAAATGCTAAGTGATGCCTGCTGCTCGCTGAGCAGAGGACTCCGCTGGAATGTGCCAGGACGCGCTTTCCTGACCTCGGAGCACATCCCGCACCAACTGCAGCCCTCCTGAGAGGGCAGGGAGCTGCCCTTGTTCCTGGGGAGCTGCTGGCAAATCAGATCAGGTGCCTGGCCCTCTCTGGCACAGCGGTGACTGACTCCGAGGCAGACCCCTGCTTGTTCTCGCGCGAGGTCACACGTCAGGGAGCTGCGGCTGCTGTGACAGGCAGGGTGGGCGAGGCCTGGGAAGGTGGGACTGCAGGGGGCCAGGGAGAGGGCACTGGGGCGGTTCCACACAGAGCCCGAGCCTGTGTGGATGGAGGGGCCCTGATGAGCGGGGAGGGGAGGGAGCAGCAGGTCAGGACACTGAGTGAGTGGAGCTCTGTGCTCTGGCCCTGGCAGGTGTGAGATGCCTCCTGGGCATCCAGCCGGGAGAGGTCGGGGCTGGGGATAAGGACTTGGCCGTGACCATGACCGTGGTGTGTTTAAAACCTGGGAGGGAGATTTCCAGTAAGTGCGTCCCTGTGAATAGGAGGGCATCCTGCCAAGCCATGGGTCACCCTAACACCCCAGCACGCAGAAGGTGGGCAGGGATGGGGGATCTTGGAGACTCTGGGGGAGCTGCTGGTAACAGGGAAACACCAGTGGGGGCACATGAGGCCTACCTTGACGGATACCGCGACGAATGAGGACAGAGGTTAAAGGTGATGGTGGTGTCCAGAAGGATGGGGTGACAGGTGTCAACAAAACAACAACAACAACAACAACAACATTGAAACCTGTAAAGAATTTTTGTGAAATTTATTTAAGCCAAACTGTCGACATATGCCGGGAAGCAGAACCTCAAGGAATTGAAATGGTGCGCCGGAGAATGGCGGGTTACATCTGTATTTATACATTGCAACCACAGGAAAGGGACGCAGGTGAGTTACATGAAATTTATTGGTGATAGATTAGGGAGGTGGGACAGAGCGAAGCAGGGAAACCTCTGGGATAGAGTGAAAGGTGAAATGATGGACATGTGCTTCCTTTAGAGATGGATACAGGATACTTTAACAGTTCACAATTAACTTATAACAATAACAATGAGGGAATGCCTGGGTGCCATTTGTTGTGCCCTGAAGGGTCCAGGGTAAAAAGGAAGTTACAAGTTACCCAAGACATCTCACAGATATGCTATCTTAGAGGTGAAAAAGGCAAACGGACTCAGTAAAGAAGATGTAAGTTGATCTTTATCAGTGAAAATATCTGCCTAGGACATGACTACCCGCTATAACCTGTTTATAATTAAATATTTAATTTTCAAACCATCTTTTGTGGTTATTTTAGGTCTCTGAGTTTGCAAGACTGCCAAGCAGGCCTCCCCTGAGCTTGTCAGGTCAGCATGCTGCTCCTTTCGTCCACACAGGCGAGGGAAGGAGGGCATTTCGGTAGGAAGAGCAGAACCACAAAAGGGTCCACGCAGGAAGGGGTGGCAGCTGGGCTCCTGGCTCCCTTCCCAGGCGTTAAAGCGACCCCGAGCTCCGGGTCCTGCTTGAAGGTGCTCCTCCAGGGCCGGAGCCTTTGCCTCCCACTCCTGATGCACCTCCTACAAGCCGCTGCAATGTTTGTTGAATGAATAAAAGGCGAACGAGCGAATGGGACTTTGGGACTTGGGGCAGCAAATGGTCTCGCTCCTTGGGCCTCAGTTTTCCTTAATGCACAGCAGGCCAAGCCTTCAAATTTGAGTTCTGGGTTTGGGATGAGCAAAGGCCAGCTGATCAGATTCCCAGTGGACAGTAAGGGGGGCCTTCCCTCGCCCGATTGGGCCGCGGATGGGGCAGCTGCGAGGTCCGGCCTCCCCGCGGGACCGGTCCCTCCCCCACGGCCCCGCCCCCAAAGCCCCGCCCCGCGGCCCCGCCCCCGCAGCCCCGCCCCACCCCACCTCCCTTTGTCTCTCCCGGCCCCGCCCCCTCCGTGCCTCTCCCTCCCCATTGGCCGGGGGGCGGGGCCTGGGCGCCGGGCGCCGCCGGGGGGCGGGGCCGGGGGCGCGGGCGGGGCGAGTGCGCGTGCGCGGTGCCAGACCCCGCGGCTGCCTCGCGCCGGCGGCTGCCCCGCGGACCCGAGCCCGGCCGCGCGGAGCTGAGACGCCGGGCGCCCCGCCCCGGGCCTCCATTGTGCAGCGGCCGCCGGTTCCGTTCCGCGGGGCCCGGGCGCCGGCGGCGAGGAGCCTGAGGTGAGGCTGCCGAGGCGGCCGCCTGAGGTGAGGCTGCGGGCGGCGGGGCGGGTCCCTGGAGAGTGGGGTTCGCCGGCGGGCGAGGTGGCACGGCCGGGGGCGGGGGTCCAGGGACCCAGCGAGGACTCTGGGCCAGAAGGGGGTTCCAGGCCGGCTGGGGTCCCAGGCGGCCGGGTTCCCGGCCCGGGAGGGCGGGGGTCACGGGACCGGGCGGGGGTCCCAGGCGGCAGGGTTCTCGGGGGGATATGGGTTCCGGGGGATCGGGGGTTCCGAGGGGACGGGGGTTCGGGGAAACGGGGGTTCGGGGGGAAAGGGGTTCCGGGGGGTCGGGGGGACAGGGGTTCGGGGGGATCGGGGGTTCCGGGGGATCGGGGGTTCCGAGGGATAGGGGGTTCTGGGGGGACGAGGGTTCCGGGGGGACGGGGGTTCCGGGGGGGACGAGGGTTCCGGGGGGACGGGGTCCCGGGCCTGGTGTGGCCGATCCGGCGGGGGCCGCGGGGTCGCCGCTCCAAGTGGCGGGCGCCGCCTGAGCCGCCGCGGGGCGGGCACGGGACGGGGACGGGGCGGGCCGGGCGCCTGGCGTTGTCTGGGCCTGGGGTGGCACCGAGGGGCGCGCCTGCTGCCACCCTCGTGGCCCCGCGCGCAGGGGTCTGGTCCCCGGAAAAGCAGGACCGGCTCCCCAAGGTGGCCACTTCCCTGGGGTCTGTGTCCGCGAAGGCAGCTCCTCGGGGGCCCTCCGCGTGGGTCGGGGACATCCTGCGAATGGACCCCCCTTCCCCCGT